GAGTAAAGTGGAGTCCTTTTTCCAAGCGACTTCCACAACCGGTTTGGAAAGCTGACAAGTAAGAGTGGCACTTCCAAACTCATCAGCTTCCTGATCTTCTAGGTGTTCTTTAATAAGTACTGGAGCCTCTGTAAGTCAGATATCACCTTGTAAATATCCTGATTACAAAGAATATCTACTAAATTAAAGTCACTAGGAATACCCATGGGGTTCCACTCCAAAAGATTTCTATCATTTCGTTGAAGTAAATCAAATAAATATCTAGCAACCTCTTTAGTTTTCTAAACATTTGCAGTAGAATTAAAATTAATATACAGCGTAAAAGTATGAATTCGTATTAATGGATGGATACATTGTTTACAAACGAATACAATCATATATTATTGAAACGCATGGAACGTTAAAGCGTTAATGTTCCAAAAGACGATTCATGAAAATGGATTATTTTCTAATTTCAACATCTCCATTCGCTTCACCTGACCTTTGACATTGAAAACTGCAGAGGTGTGGTCATCTCCAGTGTCACAGTAATATTTCCTTGCATCTCCAGGTTCCACATCATGAATGATGAGCTTCGCTGTTTTTCCTTCCTGCTTTATCTCATATTTATCGCTGGGCTGGAGTAAAGTGGAGTCCTTTTTCCAAGCGACTTCCACAGCCGGTTTGGAAAGCTGACAAGTAAGAGTGGCACTTCCAAACTCATCGGCTTCCTGGTCCACCAGACCTTCTGATATTTTAACAGGGGCTTCTGTTGGTATACATTTTAAAATTAAATTGTTTAATTATATCAAGATGAAAATTCACGTATTTGTGGTTTGTATATGGATGTAAAAATATATCCTTGTTTACCTTTGACTTTGAGAACTGCACAAGTGTGGTCATCTTTTGTGTCACAGCCATATTGCCCTGCATCTCCAGGTTCCACATCATGAATGATGAGCTTCGCTGTTTTTCCTTCCTGCTTTATCTCATATTTATCGCTGGGCTGGAGTAAAGTGGAGTCCTTTTTCCAAGCGACATCCACAGCCGGTTTAGAAAGCTGACAAGTAAGAGTGGCACTTCCAAACTCATCAGCTTCCTGATCTTCTAGGTGTTCTTTAATAAGTACTGGAGCTTCTGTAAGTCAGATATTACCTTGTAAATATCCTGATTACAAAGAATATCTACTAAATTAAAGTCACTGGGAATACCCATGGGGTTCCACTCCAAAAGATTTCTATCATTTCGTTGAAGTAAATCAAATAAATATCTAGCAACCTCTTTAGTTTTCTAAACATTTGCAGTAGAATTAAAATTAATATACAGCGTAAAAGTATGAATTCGTATTAATGGATGGATACATTGTTTACAAACGAATACAATCATATATTATTGAAACGCATGGAACGTTAAAGCGTTAATGTTCCAAAAGACGATTCATGAAAATGGATTATTTTCTAATTTCAACATCTCCATTCGCTTCACCTGACCTTTGACATTGAAAACTGCAGAGGTGTGGTCATCTCCAGTGTCACAGTAATATTTCCCTGCATCTCCAGGTTCCACATCATGAATGATGAGCTTCGCTGTTTTTCCTTCCTGCTTTATCTCATATTTATCGCTGGGCTGGAGTAAAGTGGAGTCCTTTTTCCAAGCGACTTCCACAGCCGGTTTGGAAAGCTGACAAGTAAGAGTGGCACTTCCAAACTCATCGGCTTCCTGGTCCACCAGACCTTCTGATATTTTAACAGGGGCTTCTGTTGGTATACATTTGAAAATTAAATTGTTTAATTATATCAAGATGAAAATTCACGTATTTGTGGTTTGTATATGGATGTAAAAATATATCCTTGTTTACCTTTGACTTTGAGAACTGCACAAGTGTGGTCATCTTTTGTGTCACAGCCATATTGCCCTGCATCTCCAGGTTCCACATCATGAATGATGAGCTTCGCTGTTTTTCCTTCCTGCTTTATCTCATATTTATCGCTGGGCTGGAGTAAAGTGGAGTCCTTTTTCCAAGCGACATCCACAGCCGGTTTAGAAAGCTGACAAGTAAGAGTGGCACTTCCAAACTCATCAGCTTCCTGATCTTCTAGGTGTTCTTTAATAAGTACTGGAGCTTCTGTAGGTCAGATATCACCTTGTAAATATCCTGATTACAAAGAATATCTACTAAATTAAAGTGACTGGGAATACCCATGGGGTTCCATTCCAAAAGATTTCTATCATTTCGTTGAAGTAAATCAAATAAATATCTAGCAACCTCTTTAGTTTTCTAAACATTTGCAGCAGAATTAAAATTAATATACAGCGTAAAAGTATGAATGGGTATTAATGGATGGATACATTGTTTACACACGAATACAATCATATATTATTGAAACGCATGGAACGTTAAAGTGTTAATGTTCCAAAAGACGATTTATGAAAATTTATTATTTTCTAATTTCAACATCTCCATTCGCTTCACCTGACCTTTGACATTGAGAACTGCAGAGGTGTGGTCATATCCAGTGTCACAGTCATATTTTCCTGCATCTCCAGGTTCCACATCATGAATGATGAGCTTCGCTGTTTTTCCTTCCTGCTTAATCTCATATTTATCGCCGGGCTGGAGTAAAGTGGAGTCCTTTTTCCAAGCGACTTCCACAGCCGGTTTGGAAAGCTGACAAGTAAGAGTGGCACTTCCAAACTCATCGGCTTCCTGATCTTCTAGGTGTTCTTTAATAAGTACTGGAGCTTCTGTAGGTCAGATATGACTTTGTAAATATCCTGATTACAAAAAATAGCTACGAAATTAAAGTCACTGGGAATACCCATGGGGTTCCATTCCGAAAGATTTCTATCATTTCGGTGAAGTAAACCAAAATAAAATATAGCAACCTGTTAGGTTTACTAAACAATTGCAGTGGAATAAAAATTTATATGCAGCGTAAAAGTATGATTGGGAATTAATGGATGGATACATCATTTACAAACGAATACAATCATATATTAATTATACACATGGAACGCTGATGCGTTAATGTTCAAAAAGACAATTCATGAAAATGGATGATTTTCTATTTTCAACATCTCCATTCGCTTAACCTTACCTTTGACATTGAGAACTGCAGAGGTGTGGTCATCTCCAGTGTCACAGTCATATTTCCCTGCATCTCCAGGTTCCACATCATGAATGATGAGCTTCGCTGTTTTTCCTTCCTGCTTTATCTCATATTTATCGCTGGGTTGGAGTAAATTGGAGTCCTTTTTCCAAGCGACTTCCACAGCCGGTTTGGAAAGCTGACAAGTAAGAGTGGCACTTCCAAACTCATCGGCTTCCTGGTCCACCAGACCTTCTGATATTTTAACAGGGGCTTCTGTTGGTATACATTTGAAAATTAAATTGTTTAATTATATCAAGATGAAAATTCACGTATTTGTGGTTTGTATATGGATGTAAAAATATATCCTTGTTTACCTTTGACTTTGAGAACTGCACAAGTGTGGTCATCTTTAGTGTCACAGCCATATTGCCCTGCATCTCCAGGTTCCACATCATGAATGATGAGCTTCGCTGTTTTTCCTTCCTGCTTTATCTCATATTTATCGCTGGCCTGGAGTAAAGTGGAGTCCTTTTTCCAAGCGACATCCACAGCCGGTTTGGAAAGCTGACAAGTAAGAGTGGCACTTCCAAACTCATCAGCTTCCTGATCTTCTAGGTGTTCTTTAATGAGTACTGGAGCTTCTGTAAGTCAGATATCACCTTGTAAATATCCTGATTACAAAAAATATCTACTAAATTAAAGTCACTGGGAATACCCATGGGGTTCCATTCCAAAAGATTTCTATCATTTCGTTAAAGTAAATCAAATAAATATCTAGCAACCTCTTTAGTTTTCTAAACATTTGCAGTAGAATTAAAATTAATATACAGCGTAAAAGTATGAATTCGTATTAATGGATGGATACATTGTTTACAAACGAATACAATCATATATTATTGAAACGCATGGAACGTTAAAGCGTTAATGTTCCAAAAGACGATTCATGAAAATGGATTATTTTCTAATTTCAACATCTCCATTCGCTTCACCTGACCTTTGACATTGAAAACTGCAGAGGTGTGGTCATCTCCAGTGTCACAGTAATATTTCCCTGCATCTCCAGGTTCCACATCATGAATGATGAGCTTCGCTGTTTTTCCTTCCTGCTTTATCTCATATTTATCGCTGGGCTGGAGTAAAGTGGAGTCCTTTTTCCAAGCGACTTCCACAGCCGGTTTGGAAAGCTGACAAGTAAGAGTGGCACTTCCAAACTCATCGGCTTCCTGGTCCACCAGACCTTCTGATATTTTAACAGGGGCTTCTGTTGGTATACATTTGAAAATTAAATTGTTTAATTATATCAAGATGAAAATTCACGTATTTGTGGTTTGTATATGGATGTAAAAATATATCCTTGTTTACCTTTGACTTTGAGAACTGCACAAGTGTGGTCATCTTTTGTGTCACAGCCATATTGCCCTGCATCTCCAGGTTCCACATCATGAATGATGAGCTTCGCTGTTTTTCCTTCCTGCTTTATCTCATATTTATCGCTGGGCTGGAGTAAAGTGGAGTCCTTTTTCCAAGCGACATCCACAGCCGGTTTAGAAAGCTGACAAGTAAGAGTGGCACTTCCAAACTCATCAGCTTCCTGATCTTCTAGGTGTTCTTTAATAAGTACTGGAGCTTCTGTAGGTCAGATATCACCTTGTAAACATCCTGATTACAAAGAATATCTACTAAATTAAAGTGACTGGGAATACCCATGGGGTTCCATTCCAAAAGATTTCTATCATTTCGTTGAAGTAAATCAAATAAATATCTAGCAACCTCTTTAGTTTTCTAAACATTTGCAGCAGAATTAAAATTAATATACAGCGTAAAAGTATGAATGGGTATTAATGGATGGATACATTGTTTACACACGAATACAATCATATATTATTGAAACGCATGGAACGTTAAAGTGTTAATGTTCCAAAAGACGATTTATGAAAATTTATTATTTTCTAATTTCAACATCTCCATTCGCTTCACCTGACCTTTGACATTGAGAACTGCAGAGGTGTGGTCATATCCAGTGTCACAGTCATATTTTCCTGCATCTCCAGGTTCCACATCATGAATGATGAGCTTCGCTGTTTTTCCTTCCTGCTTAATCTCATATTTATCGCCGGGCTGGAGTAAAGTGGAGTCCTTTTTCCAAGCGACTTCCACAGCCGGTTTGGAAAGCTGACAAGTAAGAGTGGCACTTCCAAACTCATCGGCTTCCTGATCTTCTAGGTGTTCTTTAATAAGTACTGGAGCTTCTGTAGGTCAGATATGACTTTGTAAATATCCTGATTACAAAAAATAGCTACGAAATTAAAGTCACTGGGAATACCCATGGGGTTCCATTCCGAAAGATTTCTATCATTTCGGTGAAGTAAACCAAAATAAAATATAGCAACCTGTTAGGTTTACTAAACAATTGCAGTGGAATAAAAATTTATATGCAGCGTAAAAGTATGATTGGGAATTAATGGATGGATACATCATTTACAAACGAATACAATCATATATTAATTATACACATGGAACGCTGATGCGTTAATGTTCAAAAAGACAATTCATGAAAATGGATGATTTTCTATTTTCAACATCTCCATTCGCTTAACCTTACCTTTGACATTGAGAACTGCAGAGGTGTGGTCATCTCCAGTGTCACAGTCATATTTCCCTGCATCTCCAGGTTCCACATCATGAATGATGAGCTTCGCTGTTTTTCCTTCCTGCTTTATCTCATATTTATCGCTGGGTTGGAGTAAATTGGAGTCCTTTTTCCAAGCGACTTCCACAGCCGGTTTGGAAAGCTGACAAGTAAGAGTGGCACTTCCAAACTCATCGGCTTCCTGGTCCACCAGACCTTCTGATATTTTAACAGGGGCTTCTGTTGGTATACATTTGAAAATTAAATTGTTTAATTATATCAAGATGAAAATTCACATATTTGTGGTTTGTATATGGATGTAAAAATATATCCTTGTTTACCTTTGACTTTGAGAACTGCACAAGTGTGGTCATCTTTAGTGTCACAGCCATATTGCCCTGCATCTCCAGGTTCCACATCATGAATGATGAGCTTCGCTGTTTTTCCTTCCTGCTTTATCTCATATTTATCGCTGGCCTGGAGTAAAGTGGAGTCCTTTTTCCAAGCGACATCCACAGCCGGTTTGGAAAGCTGACAAGTAAGAGTGGCACTTCCAAACTCATCAGCTTCCTGATCTTCTAGGTGTTCTTTAATGAGTACTGGAGCTTCTGTAGGTCAGATATCACCTTGTAAATATCTTGATTACAAAGAATATCTACTAAATTAAAGTCACTGGGAATACCCATGGGGTTCCATTCCAAAAGATTTCTATCATTTCGTTAAAGTAAATCAAATAAATATCTAGCAACCTCTTTAGTTTTCTAAACATTTGCATCAGAATTAAAATTAATATACAGCGTAAAAGTATGCATGGGTATTAATGGATGGATACATTGTTTACAAACGAATACAATCATATATTCATTATACGCATGGAACGCTGATGCGTTATTGTTCAAAAAGACGATTCATAAAAATGGATGATTTTCGAATTTCAACATCTCCATTCGCTTCACCTGACCTTTGACATTGAGAACTGCAGAGGTGTGGTCATCTCCAGTGTCACAGTCATATTTCCCTGCATCTCCAGGTTCCACATCATGAATGATGAGCTTCGCTGTTTTTCCTTCCTGCTTTATCTCATATTTATCGCTGGGTTGGAGTAAATTGGAGTCCTTTTTCCAAGCGACTTCCACAGCCGGTTTGGAAAGCTGACAAGTAAGAGTGGCACTTCCAAACTCATCGGCTTCCTGGTCCACCAGACCTTCTGATATTTTAACAGGGGCTTCTGTTGGTATACATTTGAAAATTAAATTGTTTAATTATATCAAGATGAAAATTCACGTATTTGTGGTTTGTATATGGATGTAAAAATATATCCTTGTTTACCTTTGACTTTGAGAACTGCACAAGTGTGGTCACCTTTAGTGTCACAGCCATATTGCCCTGCATCTCCAGGTTCCACATCATGAATGATGAGCTTCGCTGTTTTTCCTTCCTGCTTTATCTCATATTTATCGCTGGGCTGGAGTAAAGTGGAGTCCTTTTTCCAAGCGACATCCACAGCCGGTTTGGAAAGCTGACAAGTAAGAGTGGCACTTCCAAATTCATCAGCTTCCTGATCTTCTAGGTGTTCTTTAATAAGTACTGGAGCTTCTGTAGGTCAGATATCACCTTGTAAATATCCTGATTACAAAGAATATCTACTAAATTAAAGTGACTGGGAATACCCATGGGGTTCCATTCCAAAAGATTTCTATCATTTCGTTGAAGTAAATCAAATAAATATCTAGCAACCTCTTTAGTTTTCTAAACATTTGCAGCAGAATTAAAATTATATATACAGCGTAAAAGTATGAATGGGTATTAATGGATGGATACATTGTTTACAAACGAATACAATCATATATTATTGAAACGCATGGAACGTTAAAGTGTTAATGTTCCAAAAGACGATTTATGAAAATTTATTATTTTCTAATTTCAACATCTCCATTCGCTTCACCTGACCTTTGACATTGAGAACTGCAGAGGTGTGGTCATATCCAGTGTCACAGTCATATTTTCCTGCATCTCCAGGTTCCACATCATGAATGATGAGCTTCGATATTTTTCCTTCCTGTTTAATCTCATATTTATCGCCGGGCTGGAGTAAAGTGGAGTCCTTTTTCCAAGCGACTTGCACAGCCGGTTTGGAAAGCTGACAAGTAAGAGTGGCACTTCCAAACTCATCGGCTTCCTGATCTTCTAGGTATTCTTTAATAAGTACTGGAGCTTCTGTAGGTCAGATATCACCTTGTAAATATCCTGATTACAAAGAATATCTACTAAATTAAAGTATCTGAGAATACCCATGGGGTTCCATTCTGAAAAATTTCTAACATTTCGGTGAAGTAAACCATAATATCTAGAAACCTATTAGGTTTACTAAACATTTGCAGTGGAATAAAAATGTATATGCAGCGTAAAAGTATGATTGGGAATTAATGGATGGATACATCATTTACAAACGAATACAATCATATATTAATTATACGCAAGGAACGCTGATGCGTTAGTGTTCAAAAAGACAATTCATGAAAATGGATGATTTTCTATTTTCAAAATCTCCATTTGCTTAACCTTACCTTTGACATTGAGAACTGCAGAGGTGTGATCATCTCCAGTGTCACAGTCATATTTCCCTGCATCTCCAGGTTCCACATCATGAATGATGAGCTTCGCTGTTTTTCCTTCCTGCTTTATCTCATATTTATCGCTGGGCTGGAGTAAAGTGGAGTCCTTTTTCCAAGCGACATCCACAGCCGGTTTGGAAAGCTGACAAGTAAGAGTGGCACTTCCAAACTCATCAGCTTCCTGATCTTCTAGGTGTTCTTTAATAAGTACTGGAGCTTCTGTAGGTCAGATATCACCTTGTAAATATCCTGATTACAAAGAATATCTACTAAATTAAAGTGACTGGGAATACCCATGGGGTTCCATTCCAAAAGATTTCTATCATTTCGTTGAAGTAAATCAAATAAATATCTAGCAACCTCTTTAGTTTTCTAAACATTTGCAGCAGAATTAAAATTAATATACAGCGTAAAAGTATGAATGGGTATTAATGGATGGATACATTGTTTACAAACGAATACAATCATATATTATTGAAACGCATGGAACGTTAAAGTGTTAATGTTCCAAAAGACGATTTATGAAAATTTATTATTTTCTAATTTCAACATCTCCATTCGCTTCACCTGACCTTTGACATTGAGAACTGCAGAGGTGTGGTCATATCCAGTGTCACAGTCATATTTTCCTGCATCTCCAGGTTCCACATCATGAATGATGAGCTTCGATATTTTTCCTTCCTGTTTAATCTCATACTTATCGCCGGGCTGGAGTAAAGTGGAGTCCTTTTTCCAAGCGACTTGCACAGCCGGTTTGGAAAGCTGACAAGTAAGAGTGGCACTTCCAAACTCATCGGCTTCCTGATCTTCTAGGTATTCTTTAATAAGTACTGGAGCTTCTGTAGGTCAGATATCACCTTGTAAATATCCTGATTACAAAGAATATCTACTAAATTAAAGTCTCTGAGAATACCCATGGGGTTCCATTCTGAAAAATTTCTAACATTTCGGTGAAGTAAACCATAATATCTAGAAACCTATTAGGTTTACTAAACATTTGCAGTGGAATAAAAATGTATATGCAGCGTAAAAGTATGATTGGGAATTAATGGATGGATACATCATTTACAAACGAATACAATCATATATTAATTATACGCAAGGAACGCTGATGCGTTAGTGTTAAAAAAGACAATTCATGAAAATGGATGATTTTCTATTTTCAAAATCTCCATTTGCTTAACCTTACCTTTGACATTGAGAACTGCAGAGGTGTGATCATCTCCAGTGTCACAGTCATATTTCCCTGCATCTCCAGGTTCCACATCATGAATGATGAGCTTCGCTGTTTTTCCTTCCTGCTTTATCTCATATTTATCGCTGGGCTGGAGTAAAGTGGAGTCCTTTTTCCAAGCGACATCCACAGCCGGTTTGGAAAGCTGACAAGTAAGAGTGGCACTTCCAAACTCATCAGCTTCCTGATCTTCTAGGTGTTCTTTAATAAGTACTGGAGCTTCTGTAGGTCAGATATCACCTTGTAAATATCCTGATTACAAAGAATATCTACTAAATTAAAGTCACTGGGAATACCCATGGGGTTCCATTCCAAAAGATTTCTATCATTTCGTTGAAGTAAATCAAATAATTATTTAGCAACCTCTTTAGTTTTCTAAACATTTGCAGTGGAATTAAAATTAATATACAGCGTAAAAGTACGAATGGGTATTAATGGATGGATACATTGTTTACAAACGAATACAATCATATATTCATTATACGCATGGAACGCTGATGCGTTATTGTTCAAAAAGACGATTCATAAAAATGGATGATTTTCGAATTTCAACATCTCCATTCACTTCACCTGACCTTTGACATTGAGAACTGCAGAGGTGTGGTCATCTCCAGTGTCACAGTCATATTTCCCTGCATCTCCAGGTTCCACATCATGAATGATGAGCTTCGCTGTTTTTCCTTCCTGCTTTATCTCATATTTATCGCTGGGCCGGAGTAAAGTGGAGTCCTTTTTCCAAGCGACTTCCACAGCCGGTTTGGAAAGCTGACAAGTAAGAGTGGCACTTCCAAACTCATCAGCTTCCTGATCTTCTAGGTGTTCTTTAATAAGTACTGGAGCCTCTGTAAGTCAGATATCACCTTGTAAATATCCTGATTACAAAGAATATCTACTAAATTAAAGTCACTGGGAATACCCATGGGGTTCCACTCCAAAAGATTTCTATCATTTCGTTGAAGTAAATCAAATAAATATCTAGCAACCTCTTTAGTTTTCTAAACATTTGCAGTAGAATTAAAATTAATATACAGCGTAAAAGTATGAATTCGTATTAATGGATGGATACATTGTTTACAAACGAATACAATCATATATTATTGAAACGCATGGAACGTTAAAGCGTTAATGTTCCAAAAGACGATTCATGAAAATGGATTATTTTCTAATTTCAACATCTCCATTCGCTTCACCTGACCTTTGACATTGAAAACTGCAGAGGTGTGGTCATCTCCAGTGTCACAGTAATATTTCCCTGCATCTCCAGGTTCCACATCATGAATGATGAGCTTCGCTGTTTTTCCTTCCTGCTTTATCTCATATTTATCGCTGGGCTGGAGTAAAGTGGAGTCCTTTTTCCAAGCGACTTCCACAGCCGGTTTGGAAAGCTGACAAGTAAGAGTGGCACTTCCAAACTCATCAGCTTCCTGATCTTCTAGGTGTTCTTTAATAAATACTGGAGCTTCTGTAGGTCAGATAACACCTTGTAATTATCCTGATTACAAAGAATATCTAATAAATTAAAGTCACTGGCAATACCCATGGGGTTCCATTCCAAAATAATTCTATCATTTCGTTGAAGTCAACCAAAATAATATCTAGAAACCTCTTAGGTTTTCTAAACATTTACAGTGGAATAAAAATGTATATGCAGCGTAAAAGTATGAATGGGAATTAATGAATGGATACATTGTTTACAAACAAATACAATCATATATTAATTATACGCATGGAGCGCTAATGCGTTAATGTTCAAAAAGACAATTCATGAAAATGGATGATTTTCTATTTTCAACATCTCCATTCGCTTAACCTTACCTTTGACATTGAGAACTGCACAAGTGTGGTCATCTCCAGTGTCACAGTCATATTTCCCTGCATCTCCAGGTTCCACATCATGAATGATGAGCTTCGCTGTTTTTCCTTCCTGCTTTATCTCATATTTATCGCTGGGCTGGAGTAAAGTGGAGTCCTTTTTCCAAGCGACATCCACTGCCGGTTTGGAAAGCTGACAAGTAAGAGTGGCACTTCCAAACTCATCAGCTTCCTGATCTTCTAGGTGTTCTTTAATAAGTACTGGAGCTTCTGTAGGTCAGATATCACCTTGTAAATATCCTGATTACAAAGAATATCTACTAAATTAAAGTCACTAGGAATACCCATGGGGTTCCATTCCAAAAGATTTCTATCATTTCGTTGAAGTAAATCAAATAAATATCTAGCAACCTCTTTAGTTTTCTAAACATTTGCAGCAGAATTAAAATTAATATACAGCGTAAAAGTATGAATGGGTATTAATGGATGGATACATTGTTTACAAACGAATACAATCATATATTATTGAAACGCATGGAACGTTAAAGTGTTAATGTTCCAAAAGACGATTTATGAAAATGGATTATTTTCTAATTTCAACATCTCCATTCGCTTCACCTGACCTTTGACATTGAGAACTGCAGAGGTGTGGTCATATCCAGTGTCACAGTCATATTTTCCTGCATCTCCAGGTTCCACATCATGAATGATGAGCTTCGATATTTTTCCTTCCTGTTTAATCTCATATTTATCGCCGGGCTGGAGTAAAGTGGAGTCCTTTTTCCAAGCGACTTCCACAGCCGGTTTGGAAAGCTGACAAGTAAGAGTGGCACTTCCAAACTCATCGGCTTCCTGGTCCACCAGACCTTCTGATATTTTAACAGGGGCTTCTGTTGGTATACATTTGAAAATTAAATTGTTTAATTATATCAAGATGAAAATTCACGTATTTGTGGTTTGTATATGGATGTAAAAATATATCCTTGTTTACCTTTGACTTTGAGAACTGCACAAGTGTGGTCATCTTTTGTGTCACAGCCATATTGCCCTGCATCTCCAGGTTCCACATCATGAATGATGAGCTTCGCTGTTTTTCCTTCCTGCTTTATCTCATATTTATCGCTGGGCTGGAGTAAAGTGGAGTCCTTTTTCCAAGCGACATCCACAGCCGGTTTAGAAAGCTGACAAGTAAGAGTGGCACTTCCAAACTCATCAGCTTCCTGATCTTCTAGGTGTTCTTTAATAAGTACTGGAGCTTCTGTAGGTCAGATATCACCTTGTAAACATCCTGATTACAAAGAATATCTACTAAATTAAAGTGACTGGGAATACCCATGGGGTTCCATTCCAAAAGATTTCTATCATTTCGTTGAAGTAAATCAAATAAATATCTAGCAACCTCTTTAGTTTTCTAAACATTTGCAGCAGAATTAAAATTAATATACAGCGTAAAAGTATGAATGGGTATTAATGGATGGATACATTGTTTACACACGAATACAATCATATATTATTGAAACGCATGGAACGTTAAAGTGTTAATGTTCCAAAAGACGATTTATGAAAATTTATTATTTTCTAATTTCAACATCTCCATTCGCTTCACCTGACCTTTGACATTGAGAACTGCAGAGGTGTGGTCATATCCAGTGTCACAGTCATATTTTCCTGCATCTCCAGGTTCCACATCATGAATGATGAGCTTCGCTGTTTTTCCTTCCTGCTTAATCTCATATTTATCGCCGGGCTGGAGTAAAGTGGAGTCCTTTTTCCAAGCGACTTCCACAGCCGGTTTGGAAAGCTGACAAGTAAGAGTGGCACTTCCAAACTCATCGGCTTCCTGATCTTCTAGGTGTTCTTTAATAAGTACTGGAGCTTCTGTAGGTCAGATATGACTTTGTAAATATCCTGATTACAAAAAATAGCTACGAAATTAAAGTCACTGGGAATACCCATGGGGTTCCATTCCGAAAGATTTCTATCATTTCGGTGAAGTAAACCAAAATAAAATATAGCAACCTGTTAGGTTTACTAAACAATTGCAGTGGAATAAAAATTTATATGCAGCGTAAAAGTATGATTGGGAATTAATGGATGGATACATCATTTACAAACGAATACAATCATATATTAATTATACACATGGAACGCTGATGCGTTAATGTTCAAAAAGACAATTCATGAAAATGGATGATTTTCTATTTTCAACATCTCCATTCGCTTAACCTTACCTTTGACATTGAGAACTGCAGAGGTGTGGTCATCTCCAGTGTCACAGTCATATTTCCCTGCATCTCCAGGTTCCACATCATGAATGATGAGCTTCGCTGTTTTTCCTTCCTGCTTTATCTCATATTTATCGCTGGGTTGGAGTAAATTGGAGTCCTTTTTCCAAGCGACTTCCACAGCCGGTTTGGAAAGCTGACAAGTAAGAGTGGCACTTCCAAACTCATCGGCTTCCTGGTCCACCAGACCTTCTGATATTTTAACAGGGGCTTCTGTTGGTATACATTTGAAAATTAAATTGTTTAATTATATCAAGATGAAAATTCACATATTTGTGGTTTGTATATGGATGTAAAAATATATCCTTGTTTACCTTTGACTTTGAGAACTGCACAAGTGTGGTCATCTTTAGTGTCACAGCCATATTGCCCTGCATCTCCAGGTTCCACATCATGAATGATGAGCTTCGCTGTTTTTCCTTCCTGCTTTATCTCATATTTATCGCTGGCCTGGAGTAAAGTGGAGTCCTTTTTCCAAGCGACATCCACAGCCGGTTTGGAAAGCTGACAAGTAAGAGTGGCACTTCCAAACTCATCAGCTTCCTGATCTTCTAGGTGTTCTTTAATGAGTACTGGAGCTTCTGTAGGTCAGATATCACCTTGTAAATATCTTGATTACAAAGAATATCTACTAAATTAAAGTCACTGGGAATACCCATGGGGTTCCATTCCAAAAGATTTCTATCATTTCGTTAAAGTAAATCAAATAAATATCTAGCAACCTCTTTAGTTTTCTAAACATTTGCATCAGAATTAAAATTAATATACAGCGTAAAAGTATGCATGGGTATTAATGGATGGATACATTGTTTACAAACGAATACAATCATATATTCATTATACGCATGGAACGCTGATGCGTTATTGTTCAAAAAGACGATTCATAAAAATGGATGATTTTCGAATTTCAACATCTCCATTCGCTTCACCTGACCTTTGACATTGAGAACTGCAGAGGTGTGGTCATCTCCAGTGTCACAGTCATATTTCCCTGCATCTCCAGGTTCCACATCATGAATGATGAGCTTCGCTGTTTTTCCTTCCTGCTTTATCTCATATTTATCGCTGGGTTGGAGTAAATTGGAGTCCTTTTTCCAAGCGACTTCCACAGCCGGTTTGGAAAGCTGACAAGTAAGAGTGGCACTTCCAAACTCATCGGCTTCCTGGTCCACCAGACCTTCTGATATTTTAACAGGGGCTTCTGTTGGTATACATTTGAAAATTAAATTGTTTAATTATATCAAGATGAAAATTCACGTATTTGTGGTTTGTATATGGATGTAAAAATATATCCTTGTTTACCTTTGACTTTGAGAACTGCACAAGTGTGGTCACCTTTAGTGTCACAGCCATATTGCCCTGCATCTCCAGGTTCCACATCATGAATGATGAGCTTCGCTGTTTTTCCTTCCTGCTTTATCTCATATTTATCGCTGGGCTGGAGTAAAGTGGAGTCCTTTTTCCAAGCGACATCCACAGCCGGTTTGGAAAGCTGACAAGTAAGAGTGGCACTTCCAAATTCATCAGCTTCCTGATCTTCTAGGTGTTCTTTAATAAGTACTGGAGCTTCTGTAGGTCAGATATCACCTTGTAAATATCCTGATTACAAAGAATATCTACTAAATTAAAGTGACTGGGAATACCCATGGGGTTCCATTCCAAAAGATTTCTATCATTTCGTTGAAGTAAATCAAATAAATATCTAGCAACCTCTTTAGTTTTCTAAACATTTGCAGCAGAATTAAAATTATTATATACAGCGTAAAAGTATGAATGGGTATTAATGGATGGATACATTGTTTACAAACGAATACAATCATATATTATTGAAACGCATGGAACGTTAAAGTGTTAATGTTCCAAAAGACGATTTATGAAAATTTATTATTTTCTAATTTCAACATCTCCATTCGCTTCACCTGACCTTTGACATTGAGAACTGCAGAGGTGTGGTCATATCCAGTGTCACAGTCATATTTTCCTGCATCTCCAGGTTCCACATCATGAATGATGAGCTTCGATATTTTTCCTTCCTGTTTAATCTCATATTTATCGCCGGGCTGGAGTAAAGTGGAGTCCTTTTTCCAAGCGACTTGCACAGCCGGTTTGGAAAGCTGACAAGTAAGAGTGGCACTTCCAAACTCATCGGCTTCCTGATCTTCTAGGTATTCTTTAATAAGTACTGGAGCTTCTGTAGGTCAGATATCACCTTGTAAATATCCTGATTACAAAGAATATCTACTAAATTAAAGTATCTGAGAATACCCATGGGGTTCCATTCTGAAAAATTTCTAACATTTCGGTGAAGTAAACCATAATATCTAGAAACCTATTAGGTTTACTAAACATTTGCAGTGGAATAAAAATGTATATGCAGCGTAAAAGTATGATTGGGAATTAATGGATGGATACATCATTTACAAACGAATACAATCATATATTAATTATACGCAAGGAACGCTGATGCGTTAGTGTTCAAAAAGACAATTCATGAAAATGGATGATTTTCTATTTTCAAAATCTCCATTTGCTTAACCTTACCTTTGACATTGAGAACTGCAGAGGTGTGATCATCTCCAGTGTCACAGTCATATTTCCCTGCATCTCCAGGTTCCACATCATGAATGATGAGCTTCGCTGTTTTTCCTTCCTGCTTTATCTCATATTTATCGCTGGGCTGGAGTAAAGTGGAGTCCTTTTTCCAAGCGACATCCACAGCCGGTTTGGAAAGCTGACAAGTAAGAGTGGCACTTCCAAACTCATCAGCTTCCTGATCTTCTAGGTGTTCTTTAATAAGTACTGGAGCTTCTGTAGGTCAGATATCACCTTGTAAATATCCTGATTACAAAGAATATCTACTAAATTAAAGTGACTGGGAATACCCATGGGGTTCCATTCCAAAAGATTTCTATCATTTCGTTGAAGTAAATCAAATAAATATCTAGCAACCTCTTTAGTTTTCTAAACATTTGCAGCAGAATTAAAATTAATATACAGCGTAAAAGTATGAATGGGTATTAATGGATGGATACATTGTTTACAAACGAATACAATCATATATTATTGAAACGCATGGAACGTTAAAGTGTTAATGTTCCAAAAGACGATTTATGAAAATTTATTATTTTCTAATTTCAACATCTCCATTCGCTTCACCTGACCTTTGACATTGAGAACTGCAGAGGTGTGGTCATATCCAGTGTCACAGTCATATTTTCCTGCATCTCCAGGTTCCACATCATGAATGATGAGCTTCGATATTTTTCCTTCCTGTTTAATCTCATACTTATCGCCGGGCTGGAGTAAAGTGGAGTCCTTTTTCCAAGCGACTTGCACAGCCGGTTTGGAAAGCTGACAAGTAAGAGTGGCACTTCCAAACTCATCGGCTTCCTGATCTTCTAGGTATTCTTTAATAAGTACTGGAGCTTCTGTAGGTCAGATATCACCTTGTAAATATCCTGATTACAAAGAATATCTACTAAATTAAAGTCTCTGAGAATACCCATGGGGTTCCATTCTGAAAAATTTCTAACATTTCGGTGAAGTAAACCATAATATCTAGAAACCTATTAGGTTTACTAAACATTTGCAGTGGAATAAAAATGTATATGCAGCGTAAAAGTATGATTGGGAATTAATGGATGGATACATCATTTACAAACGAATACAATCATATATTAATTATACGCAAGGAACGCTGATGCGTTAGTGTTAAAAAAGACAATTCATGAAAATGGATGATTTTCTATTTTCAAAATCTCCATTTGCTTAACCTTACCTTTGACATTGAGAACTGCAGAGGTGTGATCATCTCCAGTGTCACAGTCATATTTCCCTGCATCTCCAGGTTCCACATCATGAATGATGAGCTTCGCTGTTTTTCCTTCCTGCTTTATCTCATATTTATCGCTGGGCTGGAGTAAAGTGGAGTCCTTTTTCCAAGCGACATCCACAGCCGGTTTGGAAAGCTGACAAGTAAGAGTGGCACTTCCAAACTCATCAGCTTCCTGATCTTCTAGGTGTTCTTTAATAAGTACTGGAGCTTCTGTAGGTCAGATATCACCTTGTAAATATCCTGATTACAAAGAATATCTACTAAATTAAAGTCACTGGGAATACCCATGGGGTTCCATTCCAAAAGATTTCTATCATTTCGTTGAAGTAAATCAAATAATTATTTAGCAACCTCTTTAGTTTTCTAAACATTTGCAGTGGAATTAAAATTAATATACAGCGTAAAAGTACGAATGGGTATTAATGGATGGATACATTGTTTACAAACGAATACAATCATATATTCATTATACGCATGGAACGCTGATGCGTTATTGTTCAAAAAGACGATTCATAAAAATGGATGATTTTCGAATTTCAACATCTCCATTCACTTCACCTGACCTTTGACATTGAGAACTGCAGAGGTGTGGTCATCTCCAGTGTCACAGTCATATTTCCCTGCATCTCCAGGTTCCACATCATGAATGATGAGCTTCGCTGTTTTTCCTTCCTGCTTTATCTCATATTTATCGCTGGGCCGGAGTAAAGTGGAGTCCTTTTTCCAAGCGACTTCCACAGCCGGTTTGGAAAGCTGACAAGTAAGAGTGGCACTTCCAAACTCATCAGCTTCCTGATCTTCTAGGTGTTCTTTAATAAGTACTGGAGCCTCTGTAAGTCAGATATCACCTTGTAAATATCCTGATTACAAAGAATATCTACTAAATTAAAGTCACTGGGAATACCCATGGGGTTCCACTCCAAAAGATTTCTATCATTTCGTTGAAGTAAATCAAATAAATATCTAGCAACCTCTTTAGTTTTCTAAACATTTGCAGTAGAATTAAAATTAATATACAGCGTAAAAGTATGAATTCGTATTAATGGATGGATACATTGTTTACAAACGAATACAATCATATATTATTGAAACGCATGGAACGTTAAAGCGTTAATGTTCCAAAAGACGATTCATGAAAATGGATTATTTTCTAATTTCAACATCTCCATTCGCTTCACCTGACCTTTGACATTGAAAACTGCAGAGGTGTGGTCATCTCCAGTGTCACAGTAATATTTCCCTGCATCTCCAGGTTCCACATCATGAATGATGAGCTTCGCTGTTTTTCCTTCCTGCTTTATCTCATATTTATCGCTGGGCTGGAGTAAAGTGGAGTCCTTTTTCCAAGCGACTTCCACAGCCGGTTTGGAAAGCTGACAAGTAAGAGTGGCACTTCCAAACTCATCAGCTTCCTGATCTTCTAGGTGTTCTTTAATAAGTACTGGAGCTTCTGTAGGTCAGATAACACCTTGTAATTATCCTGATTACAAAGAATATCTAATAAATTAAAGTCACTGGCAATACCCATGGGGTTCCATTCCAAAATAATTCTATCATTTCGTTGAAGTCAACCAAAATAATATCTAGAAACCTCTTAGGTTTTCTAAACATTTACAGTGGAATAAAAATGTATATGCAGCGTAAAAGTATGAATGGGAATTAATGAATGGATACATTGTTTACAAACAAATACAATCATATATTAATTATACGCATGGAGCGCTAATGCGTTAATGTTCAAAAAGACAATTCATGAAAATGGATGATTTTCTATTTTCAACATCTCCATTCGCTTAACCTTACCTTTGACATTGAGAACTGCACAAGTGTGGTCATCTCCAGTGTCACAGTCATATTTCCCTGCATCTCCAGGTTCCACATCATGAATGATGAGCTTCGCTGTTTTTCCTTCCTGCTTTATCTCATATTTATCGCTGGGCTGGAGTAAAGTGGAGTCCTTTTTCCAAGCGACATCCACTGCCGGTTTGGAAAGCTGACAAGTAAGAGTGGCACTTCCAAACTCATCAGCTTCCTGATCTTCTAGGTGTTCTTTAATAAGTACTGGAGCTTCTGTAGGTCAGATATCACCTTGTAAATATCCTGATTACAAAGAATATCTACTAAATTAAAGTCACTAGGAATACCCATGGGGTTCCATTCCAAAAGATTTCTATCATTTCGTTGAAGTAAATCAAATAAATATCTAGCAACCTCTTTAGTTTTCTAAACATTTGCAGCAGAATTAAAATTAATATACAGCGTAAAAGTATGAATGGGTATTAATGGATGGATACATTGTTTACAAACGAATACAATCATATATTATTGAAACGCATGGAACGTTAAAGTGTTAATGTTCCAAAAGACGATTTATGAAAATGGATTATTTTCTAATTTCAACATCTCCATTCGCTTCACCTGACCTTTGACATTGAGAACTGCAGAGATGTGGTCATATCCAGTGTCACAGTCATATTTTCCTGCATCTCCAGGTTCCACATCATGAATGATGAGCTTCGATATTTTTCCTTCCTGTTTAATCTCATATTTATCGCCGGGCTGGAGTAAAGTGGAGTCCTTTTTCCAAGCGACTTGCACAGCCGGTTTGGAAAGCTGACAAGTAAGAGTGGCACTTCCAAACTCATCGGCTTCCTGATCTTCTAGGTGTTCTTTAATAAGTACTGGAGCTTCTGTAGGTCAGATATCACCTTGTTAATATCCTGATTACAAAGAATATCTACTAAATTAAACTCTCTGAGAATACCCATGGGGTTCCATTCTGAAAAATTTCTAACATTTCGGTGAAGTAAACCATAATATCTAGAAACCTATTAGGTTTACTAAACATTTGCAGTGGAATAAAAATGTATATGCAGCGTAAAAGTATGATTGGGAATTAATGGATGGATACATCATTTACAAACTAATACAATCATATATTAATTATACGCAAGGAACGCTGATGCGTTAGTGTTCAAAAAGACAATTCATGAAAATGGATGATTTTCTATTTTCAACATCTCCATTTGCTTAACCTTACCTTTGACATTGAGAACTGCAGAGGTGTGGTCATCTCCAGTGTCACAGTCATATTTCCCTGCATCTCCAGGTTCCACATCATGAATGATGAGCTTCGCTGTTTTTCCTTCCTGCTTTATCTCATATTTATCGCTGGGCTGGAGTAAAGTGGAGTCCTTTTTCCAAGCGATTTCCACAGCCGGTTTGGAAAGCTGACAAGTAAGAGTGGCACTTCCAAACTCATCAGCTTCCTGATCTTCTAGGTGTTCTTTAATAAGTACTGGAGCTTCTGTAGGTCAGATATCACCTTGTAAATATCCTGATTACAAAGAATATCTACTAAATTAAAGTCACTGGGAATACCCATGGGGTTCCATTCCAAAAGATTTCTATCATTTCGTTGAAGTAAATCAAATAATTATTTAGCAACCTCTTTAGTTTTCTAAACATTTGCAGTGGAATTAAAATTAATATACAGCGTAAAAGTACGAATGGGTATTAATGCATGGATACATTGTTTACAAACGAATACAATCATATATTCATTATACGCATGGAACGCTGATGCGTTATTGTTCAAAAAGACGATTCATAAAAATGGATGATTTTCGAATTTCAACATCTCCATTCGCTTCACCTGACCTTTGACATTGAGAACTGCAGAGGTGTGGTCATCTCCAGTGTCACAGTCATATTTCCCTGCATCTCCAGGTTCCACATCATGAATGATGAGCTTCGCTGTTTTTCCTTCCTGCTTTATCTCATATTTATCGCTGGGCCGGAGTAAAGTGGAGTCCTTTTTCCAAGCGACTTCCACAGCCGGTTTGGAAAGCTGACAAGTAAGAGTGGCACTTCCAAACTCATCAGCTTCCTGATCTTCTAGGTGTTCTTTAATAAGTACTGGAGCTTCTGTAGGTCAGATATCACCTTGTAAATATCCTGATTACAAAGAATAGCTACGAAATTAAAGTCACTGGGAATACCCATGGGGTTCCATTCCGAAAGATTTCTATCATTTCGGTGAAGTAAACCAAAATAGAATCTAGCAACCTGTTAGGTTTTCTAAACATTGACAGTGGAATAAAAATGTATATGCAGCGTAAAAGTATGAATGGGAATTAATGAATGGATACATTGTTTACAAACAAATACAATCATATATTAATTATACGCATGGAGCGCTAATGCGTTAATGTTCAAAAAGACAATTCATGAAAATGGATGATTTTCTATTTTCAACATCTCCATTCGCTTAACCTTACCTTTGACATTGAGAACTGCACAAGTGTGGTCATCTCCAGTGTCACAGTCATATTTCCCTGCATCTCCAGGTTTCACATCATGAATGATGAGCTTCGCTGTTTTTCCTTCCTGCTTTATCTCATATTTATCGCTGGGCTGGAGTAAAGTTGAGTCCTTTTTCCAAGCGACTTCCACAGCCGGTTTGGAAAGCTGACAAGTAAGAGTGGTACTTCCAAACTCATCGGCTTCCTGGTCCACCAGGCCTTCCTTGATCAGGACCGGGGCTTCTGTTGATAAAGTTGTAACCAAGCTGAACAAAATATTGTAATACAAACCTCATCAAAACCTTGCATATATAACCGTAAATGTATATGTAAACACACACATGACAAACATTTTTTCAATTGAAAAAATCAATCCTCTCGCGTGTTATGGACTGTGTCCTGCATATGAGCTTTGACTATATGCCTGCTTTAACACGTACGTTTCCAGCACGTTAGCACACATTTTCATCGTGGGTGTAACAATTCTGGATGGTCCATTGCTCGGTCTCCTTCCTCGGATTTCCTTCGCCTTGCTGTGGTGTGCAGTGTGTGCGCACGTGGGTTGAATTCTCTCTACTCTGTCTGTCTCTGTATTCGATAAATGTAAATAACACATCATTATCTTTTCCCCCTTTCATGATCACACTGCTGAGGTCTTGACATCTCCAGTGTCACATCCATACTCTCCTGCATCGCCAGGGTCCAAGTTGTGGATTGCAAGCATCGCCAAAACCCCTCTCGGCTGATGGAATATTTTGGACCGGGCAAAATAATGCAACTGCCCTTCCTCCAATCAACGTTTCCGAACAGCTTTGAAAGCTGAGAACTGAGAGTGGCACTTCCAAACTCATTGGCCTTCTGATCTTTCAGGGCAGTACATACCCACACCGGAGCTTCTGTCGTCAAACTACAATTTTAAATTACATTTCATAACATTGACTGCTTTGGAATATTGTCTAACTTACACTATTATGGTTACCCAAGTGCTAGAGATCACATTTAATTTGGCCTAATAGGGCTTCCAAGGTGCCTAGCATGCGTGGACGAGTAGACCAACGTGCTCCCTAGAGTGTCTCCCTAGAGCTTTCTCCAGTGGAGATCCTTCTGTGCAGCAATGGCGTGTGCGAGCATTTGCAGGGCTGCACCTTCATCTTTGCGCTTCACCTCTCAATTTTGGCTTCCACTATTCTAACTGCCAAAATTCGTGCAATAAACTGCGCCGCGTCTCTGGCCACGGCCATTACCTTTGATGGTGAGCCTCGCTGTCGAGGAGATAGTCCTGGCCACAAATCTGACGTCGCCGCTCTCCTCGGGTATGAGGTTCTTGAGGAGCAGGGTGTTGCTCCTCCCCCTGCAACCGATCTCTGCCCGTCCTCCTGCCAGCAGCTCCGAGCCGTTGAGCAGCCAGCGGCAGCCGTCGATGGCCTCGTGCGAGAGCTCGCACACGAACAGGGCGCTCTCTTCCTCCATCACCTCTTGGCTCTCCAACTCCCTGGTTATCGTCAGCTTCAATTCTAAGAAGACAAAAAAGGCATACAAGACCTTGAATCGATTTTAATGATTGCACAACAGCTCTGACTAATGAAATGACGTTGCTGTTCATTATGAGGCAAAGGTCAGTGCTAAAAGTGTACTTTTCGGTGGTGATTAAGTTGAGTACTAATGAGTTGCTTTCAATGTATTCAATGCCACTTACACTGATACCACATTGTACAGTGAGGTCGAGATGTGACTTGAGTACGAATTCTCGCTCGAGATCCAAAGTGGTCCAAAAGACACAAGTGGCTCATGAACTGCACCTCCATTGGCACAGTTGGCTACGTACGGTGGGAAAGAAGTTCCATATACATAGAACACAAACTCCCATGTGATAATGCAGATCGTGATGTGACACATCGAGAATAATGATCGAGTGGCAGCCAAGCAATGAAGCACATCTACAAACAGGGGCCACTGGGGAGATGGAGCGGAAGATGGCGGCAGCGTGGGGAGGCCTTCATCCAGCAGTGGATTGACCATGGCAGACAACGACGATCACAATATCGGACGCGGCGCGATCGCCGTAACACTCGGACCGCACCTTGCACGTGCAGCGTCGCGGTCGTGCTGGCGTCCCCGGCGCGGCACGAGTAGGAGCCCGCGTCCTCGCAGCGCAGGTCGTGCACCAGCAGGCGCAGCGAGCGCCCGGCGTGCACCACCTCGTACTTGTCGGACGGCGTGAGCGGACGGGAGAAGCGACCTCCGCGCCACTCAACGCCGACGCCAGGCGGCGCGTCGCGTGACAGCGAGCACCGCAGCTCAGCCGTGCCCTGCTCTTCCCCAAACACGTCCTCCAGTTCCCGCTCGAATGCCAAGGGTTCCTCTGCAGGCGTGGGGGGGAGGGAGGGGGAGGTGTTGACAGTAAATAGATTCGTTAGCGTGGATTCTTATTTTGAACATGCAATGGGACACTCGGCTAGCCGACCACACGTGTTACAGCGTGAGATATCCTATCCTGTGTAAGCAAAAAGATGCCAGATGCCGCTCGCAACTTTAATCCGCCCTTTACTTTGACCGACTTATCGGTGACTGCGGTGCATCTGCTGATGATACGCAGTAACCATAGCATCCACGTGGAACACTAAGAGTGGTTTTTCAGCCCAAACCTCATGGACGGTGATTTTTATGGACATAGACTGGTGGACGGTTGCCATCTGTCCCAGAATAATTAAAGTGCCGTTTTTTATCAGTTCAAAAACACCAATCAAGGCAATGTTTTTACATCAAGTTCTTCCCTCTTCCGGGATTGTGAGATAATTCTTCTTCTCCTCCTGATATCTTCGGAGCTTTTTTGTAACTCAGAGGTGGCAACCTTTAGACCCGGGGCAGCCACGTCCACAGCGCTCCGATCCAACCAAACGCTCACCCTTCACGTGCAACTGGGCCGTCTGTTCGGCACCCTCTGCCCGGAAGGTGACGGTGCCAGCGTCCTCCGTCGTGAGGTTGCTCAGCTTGAGCACGTGACAGCGCCCGTCCCGCGAGATCTCCGTGGCCTCGCCCGGCACGAGCTGCACGTCGTTCAAGGAGCCACTCGGCGTCGTCCACGTCGGCGCGGGAGAGCTCGCAGCGGAACACTGCGGTGCCCTTCTCCTCCGCGTCAACGTCTCCCATGGCCCGGGTCACTCGCACGTCGCGCCCTGAGCCGCGGGGGGACAGAGGGCATCTCCTGTAAATCTCGTGGCCGCACAGCGAGGCGGTGGGTTCCGTGTTCTCTCGCGGTATTCGCGAGGAGGGAGACGTTCCGGAGATGCGCGTGAATTGGAGATTTCGCGGATAATGAATTACCTTAACTTAATAAGCTATTAAATACATGAAAATTATCATCACACCATTTTTGTTATTGCTTATAATAAATATAAAGTAAATACAAATTTATATTAAAGTATTCAATATTTATTTATCAATTAATTTACCTCATCCCATCGCTTTATCTCATCACTTTATCTCATCACTTAAACTTGCATCACATTCTCTCTCGCCGCTTTATCTCATCACTCTCTCTCTCGATGCAGCCTTGCATCGGGTCCCAGGTTAGAACTTCACGGATCGCCACAAATCGCGGGTGGCAAGTTCGCGAACGATGAGGGAGCACCGCGCTCCGTGAACGTCTGCGGGCGCGACACGCGCGGGTGGCGCGGTGTCCCACCTCGCACGGTGAGGACAGCAGCAGTGCTGGTCCCGCCGGCCCGGCACGAATACTCCCCCGCGTCGTCTTGGTGCACTCGGCGGATCGTGAGGCACGCTCTGCCGGCCTCCTGCACCATGTGATGCTTGCTCGAGGGGTTCAGGGCAACGCGGCCGTGGAACCAGGCGACGGAGGGGAGCGGGGTGGTGTTGGCTCGATGGAACGCGCAGGAGATCGTCACGTCCTCTCTTTCCGTCACTTCCGTGTCCGCAAGTCCGCTCGACACCTCCAAAGGTGCCTCTGCGGGGTCACGGACAAAAGATTGGAGAACGGATGAACAAAAACTATCGCTGAAATATTGTTAACATTGCCTGTATGTACAAAAATCCAGTCTGATATGAATACATTCTATATAAGATTGTACAATCTACCTCAATGGAACCAATAAACTCGATTTAATGATCAACCTCTTTTTTTAACTTGAACAAAAAAACCGCCGCTTATACCACACCGCGTTCGTTCAATGGCAAACTCACCCAGAACGAGCACCATGGCCCATTTGGACAATAATAAGAAAAAGGTGTGAAGCCAAGCGGCGCGTGGAGGTCACGCGGCGCGTGCAAACCGCGCCTGCACGGCCGCCCCCGCCGGCGACGGTGTCCGTACCGTGGACCGTGAGCACCGCGGCCGTCGAGGCCTTCCCGGCGCGGAAGGTGACGGTGCCGGACATGGAGGGGCACGCGACGGGGATGACGACGCGATGCACGCGGCCGTCCCGCTCCACCGCGGCGAGCCCCGGGAACGCCGCGCTCAGCTCCACGCCGTTCAGCGTCCACCGCACCGCCTTGACCCGCTCGGCCGATACCTCGCACTCGAGCGTCGCGCCCTCCGGCTCGGTCGCCTCCACGTCGCGCAGCGGCCGCACCACGCGGATCTCGGGCTCTGCCCGCCGCGTGCCACACCAGGCCGGAGAATTAGCGGCTCGGCGACGAAGGGAGAGACGTGCCGGGCATCCAGTTCAGAATTAAAGTCCATTCGACCCTCCTCACTATGAACTAATCAGCTAGGAAGGGCGTGCATTTTTTAAACAAAATAGCCTTGGTCACCTCCGATCAGCACGGTTGGCTATGTAAGATGCGGAAGAAGTTCAACATACATATCCTTTGGTGCTCTACAATGCACCTAACCGACACGGATGACAAGAGTGGTGTTTTTGACCTTCTCTCATGTCCACTCCAAACAAAACGCTTGACGATTTCAACGATAGAGCCACAACACCGTCGCGACGTATTCACTGATGCATCGTGTGTCCGCATTCTAAGTCTACACGGACAGCCATTTCGTCAATCCACTGCTCGGGCCTCTACACCGCGTGGATCGTGGCGTTTATTTGACCATACTTCACCACACTGGTCAGCGTGGGTCGGTGAAGTCAAAGAGCACAGACGCAGAGTACAACAACGTTCGCCCCAGCGTGTCAACAGAACGACGATTCGTCCATGCGTCGACAAGCGCTGACGAAGCCTCGGCCTATTACCCTCGACGAGGAGGCTCGCCGACGTCCTGTCGTCCGCGGCGTCGCACGTGTAGCGGCCTTCGTCGGAAAAGCGAGCGTCTTGCACGACGAGCCGCCGGTAGCAGCCGTCGGCGACCGCCCGGATGCGAGGCGCCTCGTCTCCCGCCTCGTCTCCCGTGTCCCTGTCGTCGAGAATCACCTCCTCGTCACCGCGCGACCACCGCACGGCGGCGTTCGCGCGGGACACCTGGCACTCCAGCACCACTCGGTGGCCCTCCATGGCGACCTTTTCCCGGAGGCCTTTCACGAACCGCACCGGCAGCTCTGCGTGGAACGACCGGGACACGGGGGAGTTTGTAGCACGGCCCGATAATGTATGTGTATGTATGTATGTTGAACTTCTTTCGCACCATATGTAGCCAACCGTGCTAATCGGAGGTGTGGGAAAGACTTCTGCTGCGATTATATTTGTTAAAGTGAAGTTACCTTTTATTGTCAACGTCGCCGTGGACTCTGCATTCTCTGCGGTGAATGTTATGTCTCCTGCGTCGTCCGTCGTTACGTTACTCAGCAGAAGCGTGTAAGTTCTCGCTGCCAAAACAAATCACGCCTCACTTTGTGCAACATTCAACAAATGTACTGCGTGCAAAACATACTTGTGCCCACATCCAGTGAATTAAAATTGAAAAAAATGTAATCAATTACCGAGGAAGCAAACCGGGGCGTTTCACGCTGCGTTACCTTCCCGGCGCATCTTGATCCGTGGATCGGCACGGAGAGGCTTCCCATCGCGGAGCCAGCAGCCATCCACCTCGTCGTGCGACACCTCACACGTGAAGGCGGCTTCCTCCTTCTCGCGCACCTCCATGCTCGCCAGCGGACGCACGAACTGCACGTCGCGCACTACAACGCGGGAGAGGGCGCGCGTCAGGGGGCAAACGACGCGGCAGAACGATGCTGCGCGGGAACCCGCGCTCGTGCTCGACCTCGCTCGTGGCCTTACCGTGGACCGCGAGCGTGGCGGCGGTGACGTGGTCGCCGGCCCGGCATGAGTACGAGCCGCTGTCTCCGATCTCGGCGCGCGGCACCACGAGGCTGCGCTTGCGGCCCTGCGCGAGGATGCGGTGCCTCTTGCCGGGCTTCAGCTCCGCGTCGTCCTGGACACACGCAGGCGTCCATTTGATAACTAATCAACATCACCGTGATTGTGTGGGGACGAACCGGAACGTGACTTTTGCGGTCGCCAATGTAAAAAAAAACCACGCCGTCCTTTGGTGGCTCTGCCTTTGCAATGCAGAGAATCCAAAAGTTACGTTCTAAGTTTAGGCTGACGCGCGACACCGCTTTACCTTGAACCATTTGACCTCGGCATTGGCCTTGGAGACTTCGCAATCCAGGCTGGCGCTGCTCTTCTCCGGACAGCGCACGTCGAGCAGCTGCCTGGTGAACGTCACCGCGGGTTCTGCATACCGCGCATTCGCACCGTCGGGGCGAGGGGAGGGGGGGGGCATTCCGCGGCGCTAAGTCATTGGCGCTAATTGGCCCTCCGCGCTGCAAAACAATCCACGTCGTACGAACCCCGCTACCATCGTTCGAGTCACCGGGCCGTCGTGGTGAGGTGTTGACTGCCTCGCCTGGTATACAGGAGGTCGTGGGCTCGATCTGGACCCTGACGCCTGCTGCTGTATATTTGGAGTTTGCGCGTCTCTTTCTCCACGGTCGTGTGGATTTTTCTCAGGGTCCTCCACTTTTTCCCTCCACATTTAGAATCAACATCAAGCGTTTAAGATTATTTGGCCACCATGAATTTCCCTGTAAGCCACTGTGTCGAGTTGTCATTTGTGATGGCCTGGTCACTTCTAAAGGAGAGCTATATAGTTAAAGTGGGGCCTTACCCGATGAAATAAAAAATAGTTCGTAGTTTTCGTTTATAGTCTCACCCGTGACAGTGAGCCTGGCCTGAGGAGCGAATCCCCTCCGCCTCGAAGGCGACGATGCCGGAGTCGTCGAGGCGCAGCGCCGACAGCGTGAGGGTGTGAGTCTTGCCGGCGACGGCCGGGCGGCACCGGGCGCTCGGCTTGAGCTCGGTGCGATCGCGCCACCACCGCGCCACCACGTCGGCGTGCGACAGCTCCAGCTGGAAGGTAGCGGCCTCCGTGGCCGTGGCCGTCGCCGGCTGCAGGCCCCGCATGACCCGCACGTCACGGGCTGAGCCGGCAGAGGAGCACGAGGTTATCATTATTATTGTTGTTCACATTAAACATTTACAGCACTCAAATCCACTGCTGGATCACGGCATCCCTACATTGTCGGTCATGGGGGTTGTTAGGTCATACTTCACCATGACTGATTGGGAAATCACTCGCCACTGATCTCAGTCGCGGCTGGGAATCTTATTCAGGCAGCCGGATTCATCGCACAGTGCGCTAACCACTGTGCCACAGCACACCCACAATATTATTTTTAAAACCCCACTCATATCACACATCATTTACAGTCCACGCAGTTGTTAACATAGCTTACAACTAATTATAATTGTAATGCAATGGTGCCTTTTAAAGAGAGGCTATTGAAAGGCGTTGAATGTCCAAAAAGTCCCACACATATAAAATCTAAAAGCACTAATATTTTAACCCAAATCATAACCATACGGCATACACTTGTAACTGCAACAATATCGGCTTCAACACACACACACACCGCCAAATGAATCTGGGGGATTCTCAACATCCGAACGCGCAGGGGAATCTCGACGGAGCCGCAGCGGCACTCACGCTCCACGCGCAGCCTGGCCTGGCTCTTGTCGTGCAGAGTCTCGCAGGAGTAGAGGCCGCCGTCGGCCGCGCGGACACCCGCGATGAGGAGGGAGCGGCGGGGCCCCTGGGCGTCGAGGCGCACGCGCTCGTCCGCGTTGAGCACCACGCCGTTGCGCATCCAGCGCACCTCGGCCTCGGCGGAGGAGACCTCCACCTCCAGCGCCGCGTCGGCTCCCTCCTCCACCGCGAGCGGCTCCAGCCCGCGCACAAACCGCACCGTCGCTTCTGCGCACGCGCGTGGTGTGTGTAGTGTGTGTGGTGTGTGGTGTGTAGTGTGGTGTGTAGTGTGGTGTGTAGTGTGCGTGTGTGACGTTCACGTGTGTGTGTGTGTGCGGGTACACGTACGAGTAAGCACATTTAAGCCACAATCTGGGCAACTACACTCTGCATATTACTCCATGTTTTATTTTGGCTTCCTTCTCAGGGGGCTCCTGCTTGGCACGGCTGACAGAACCCCCTTGCGTTGGGTTTTATCGAATTGACGGGCAAGTGAAGTGCCCAGAGCAGCTCCAAGCTGGTGGCCCTGAAACCTAATTGCTGTACTGCCTCCTGTCCTGCAGTGTCTCATGCCCACGAAGATTCCATCTCTGCGCTATCATGTTAACACCTAGAAGTAGTAACGACGCATGCAGTCGTTGACGAGGGCCCGTCCGTGCCGCGGGGATGGAGCGATGAAATCTGCTCGTGGCGCAGACGCCAGATTGGCTGTGGATAGATCGTGGCTGATGATGATATCATTTTATGTGGCTGATTCAGGTGATCCTGGCTGCCATTAGAGCTTTCATCCATTCCAAACTGGTGAAGAAAAATCACGACAACGCACTGCACTCTAACGATTCATTCACTCTGGGAGGAGGCCGGAAGGGGGTCAATATAATAGGGTTGTGATACAGAAAGGACATGGGGATTAATGGCATTAATATTAATAATAATGATGAATTGTGACTGGATGCAGGAGTGAACAGCGTTCGCTGGGGAGGAGCGGCCGGGAAACGATACGCGTGGCTCTCAGCGTGAGTCACGGTGAGCGTGGCTCTCAGCGTGCGTGACGGTGAGCGTGGCTCTCAGCGTGCGTGACGGTGAGCGTGGCTCTCAGCGTGCGTGACGGTGAGCGTGGCTCTCAGCGTGCGTGACGGTGAGCGTGGCTCTCAGCGTGGCTCTCAGCGTGCGTGACGGTGAGCGTGGCTCTCAGGGTGGGTGACGGTGAGCGTGGCTCTCAGGGTGAGTGACGGTGAGCGTGGCTCTCAGCGTGAGTCACGGTGAGTGTGGCTCTCAGGGTGGGTGACGGTGAGCGTGGCTCCCAGGGTGCGTGACGGTGAGCGTGGCTCTCAGCGTGAGTCACGGTGAGTGTGGCTCTCAGGGTGGGTGACGGTGAGCGTGGCTCTCAGCGTGGCTCTCAGGGTGGGTGACGGTGAGTGTGGCTCTCAGGGTGGGTGACGGTGAGCGTGGCTCTCAGCGTGGCTCCGTGGCTGTCACCGACGATGCCGCCGAGTGGTTTACGAAGCGGCCACATGCCAACACGAGCAGCTGCCCCTCCTATTTTCGTCGCATTACGACTCTGGCAGTAATGCGATGATGAGCATCCAGGCTCAGGGGGACGGGAGGCAGAAGAAGCGTCGTCTACAAAGGTTGCCCGAGACGGGCGTTGGCTCGGGTGTTCAATCCTCCAGTGGTAAACGCACGCTCACTTCTCTTTCCAAATTTACCGTTGGACGTGAAAACCAAAGTACTCACCGTTGAGTTACGTCTGCAATAAATGTGTGTCTTCATTTACGTGTAGTTGCTAAGAAAAATGTTTGGAACTTTTGATTGGGCAGTGACGGATGTATTCATTCATAAGATTTGTAATGTGCGCAAAAAGGACATTCAGGTGCAAAAGATACAAAAAACGTGTGGTGTCAGGTAATGTTTTCGAGAATATCTTTCACACTAAATCGAATTAATCGCAGTAAAGTTTGATCACATCCTCCACGAGCAGTAACACCAAGGTGTAGGTGTGTTGCCTAAACTCGTGATGAATTCCCCACCCAGGATGCCAAGTTCAATGGCTGTAGTCTCTGAGTATTGCACTATCCGTTGAATTAAAGTGGTCAAATCGCTGCGTTTTTATATTCCCCGTGCCTCGTTAACGGCATGCATGGAGAAGGGGGAAACTCTGGAGGTGCCGACAGCAGAAAGGTAGTCACGCAAACAAAGCGACCGTCCCACGAGGTCAACTGCCGACCTTGAACGTGCAGTCGGGCGGAGGAGCGGACCCTCCCGTCGGCGAGCGCGCTGATCTCTCCGGAGTCGAGCAGCTGGAGGGGCCGGAAGGCCACGCTGTGCCAGGGCGGCTCGCTCGAGATGAAGACGCGGGGGCCCGGCAGCAGCGGCGTCGTCCCGCGCCGCCACTCGACGGGGACGTCGGGCGGTGACACGCAGCACTTGAACGTCGCCTCCTCGCCCTCCAGCGCCGTGAGGCTCTTGAGGTCCGTGATGAAGGCGACCGTGCGCGGCGCTGCCGGTCGCGCACGGAGACACCGGCGGCTCGAACCTCGGCGCTCAAACTCGGGGCAGTTTACGCTTGCTTTGCCATCGGCGTTCTTAGCGTGACGTTACAAATGATGACTGTAATAGCACTGAGGTGTTAAAAGAGCCAGCAGAGTAATATGAAAATGTAAAAATGTAATTGAGGGTACCATCAGTCGTGACCTTGATGTCCTCAGGGGTGCGTGAGCTCATCTCCGTCTTGCTCAACTTAGTTGCAATCTCTGGAGAAACGCAAAGCAAAGCAGGGACGATCACACGCGTTCCATTCACAGGTTAGGAGTGCACGTGCATGCGCTGAAGGGAAGCCACACCACTCCGCGTCCTACGGCTGCCGCACGGATGGCGACGCCGGATTGCGGTGAATGCGGCCAACCCGAACGGACCATGGATCATAGAACAACTCAATGCCCCATCCACAAACACGAAGCAGGAGGCGTCGTCACAGCGATGCCCTCTGCTACTCGTGACGCAATCATCTGGATCAACCACCTCGATGTTACATCGCAGTTCTTTCTCTACATCAACATCAGCCACATGAAGAAGAGTTCAGAAACTCGTTCTATTTATTTAAATCTACTTCATACCGTACGTGTTATTTTGTTAGCAGCCAATGTACCAACCTCAGAAGAGCAACGACAAAATAACTTCCGTTGACTCAGTCAACACGTGGGCGTATAATGCATTTCAGTGAATATCCTGTGATCCGTGACCCTAGTATTTGCTATTCCTGAAATCCGCTACCTCCATTATCTACACTGCCATTCCACAAACGGAAACTCGTTTTATCCATTAATGGATTCTCCATCCGTTCACAACAATGTATGGATTTGAGGAGTTTCCCAAAGGTTGTTTCCGTAATTTGCCAAATTCATCCACATTTACCTAGGTTAAGTGAATAATCTGGAAGTGGTCTCCTAACATCGCAAAAACTTTTAACTAAAATCATTTTAACCGCATCCATTCACAGACAAAAGGATCCGCCAATACCGATCGCTGCATCAATGCCCACAAAGTTCACTACGTTTGTGGCAAGTCCATTTGTGTTTCCGAAGACTGAATAACAAACCACAGCAATAGCCAGTGCAATATATTTTGTGCATCAAAAAGAACCACGATGCTGTAAGTGCAGAGATGTGTTGAGGGGGAGATGAGCCGCACCTTGGACTGTGACGGTGGCGTGGGTGGCCCCGTCCGGCGTCTCACACGAGTACTCTCCGCCGTCCTCCGGCCCCGCGCCAGCGATGGTGAGCGTGCGCGCCGCCCCGTCAGACGCGAAGCGGTGCCTCTTGCCGGGCCGCACCTTTACCCCGTCCTTCTTCCACTCCACGTCGCCCGCCTCCCGGCTCAGCCTGCAGCGCAGCACCAGAGGCTCCCCCGCCACGCCCCGCACGTCCGTCAGCGGCGTCGAGAACAGCAGCGGGGGCTCTGTGTCCACGGGGGAGAAAGGGGGGAGGAGACGCACGCTCGGCGAGGGGGCAGCGGCGCAAGCAAAGGCGGCGCTCGGCGACGAGTCCCGCGGGCTGGCGGGGAGCGGCGGCGTGGCCTCACCCTTGACGCTGACGCTGAAGCCCACGGAGTCCCCGTCCGTGCGGCAGCTGTAGGACGCGGAGTCGTTCGTCCGGGCCTGCTGGATGACCAGGCGCCTCGCCAGCCCCACGCTCTCCAGCCTCACGCCGCTGGCCGGCGCCGCCAGCTCCTGCCCGTCCCTCAGCCACGTGACGGCGGCGTCAGCTCGGGACACCTCGCAGCTCAGTACCACCCGCTCCCCGGTGGCCACGTGCCACTCCGTCTGGGCGTCCAGGCGCCTGCGGAATGTGGCTGGCGGCTCTAGGGGATCAACAAAACAACATGTGTGACCACATTGAATTGCAAAAAAATATATAAAAACTACATAGTGCCTTTTGCAAAATGAGCAAAAGTGATTTCATAGCATTCGGTTATGATTGCTATGAATGTGATTCTATAGTTGGTCGAGGGGCATTTGGCCTGGTGTACCACCCTGCTTATGCAGTTTTCCTACCATTTCCAAGACAGAGTGCTCCTTCCAGCTTGAATGTCTCTCCCCTAACATGTGAATAACACCCAGCATCTGTAAGTTCTCCCTACCTGATACCCTATTGCATAGGCTGCAAGTAAGTGCACCTTGCTCAGTGCAGATGTAGCAAGACAATGGCAGTGACGTAGCCTAGCAGTGTTCAACGCTCTTTGCTGAAGTTTGCAGCTCAAATGTGTAGTGAGTCCAACTGAGTCACAGACGTTCTTCTTTAGAGGCAACACATTTATTGTAACACGTAAATACAAAGGGGTAACTGCCACTTTACCAGATACAGCCTGGGGTGGTGACCACCCAGCTAACTACACTATACGTAGGAGTTACAGCTACGATGGGTCAGACCCTCACTCGGGTCCTCGGCCACGTGTTGATGCCTCGTAGGACGTAAAACTTTCAGATTGTAGACGTGGAGCTTCCAGCTTGCAGAACGAAGCGACCCAGTCCCTCTCACGGACCCACCTTTTATCCTCCCGGGCCGGGGCCGGCTCCGCCCTCGGCCCCGCCCGCCTTCTCGAGCGTTCTATCTCCCTCTCGATCCCCCTCGAGAGCTCTCCCCGGACACGTGATCACCCCCTAGCCCCCCCACCTGGGGGCCTCTCTGTGGACACTCCGGATCACGTGTCTACGGGGTCAACCAGAGTGCCTCGGCCCTGGGCAACCCTGTACCTGGGCTGACACTCTCCCGCTCCCCCTTGTGGGAGCCCGCACTACACGCCACGTAGGCCTCGGCAAGGTAAGGTAAAAGTTAAAAGGTAAAAAGCAACGAGCCTACCTTTTACCCTTCCTTTTACCCTTACCCCATACAAATTACCCGATTACAGGGTAATTACTGGGGTACTACTACACATGAACAAGGTTTATAACGGTAAATGCTAGGAAGAGCGCTTTATTCATATAGAATACTCTCCATGATTCCAATTTTACACGCTTGTTGTTGTTGTCATTGTTGTTGTTGTTGTCGTTGTTGTCGTTGTCGTCGTTGTTGTATTCTCAAATCTTGTAACTCAATTTTAACCCACTTCCTAATGTGGTATCGACTGCAAACTTGGTATACTTATGTCATACTGATGACAACACTATATTCTATCATAAAATCCTTTTGTATATGTTATGTTTCGGCTTGGCTCTAATTGTCCACTGCTCAACTGACGTTGGCTGTAAATCACAACGGTCCCTTACGCTGTGGCAATCTTCGGGGCCACTTCCTGGAGTCGTGGAGTTCTGCCATTACGAGTACGTTTAATAAAAACGTGTTTTTAATAAAGTTTGTTTTAAATATTACTTGTTAAATGGAGGCCACAAACTGCGCCACGGAGCTTCTAGCAGTAAACAAGGCACCGTATTTACCGGGTAATACTTCGCGCTTCCTTTACCCTACCGGGTAATTCTTCCGAGCTACCTTTACCCTACCCTTTACCTTACCCCTTGGCATGTCGACACCTTTACCCTTTTACCCGGTAAAAAGGGTAATTTACCTTACCTTGCCGAGGCCTAACGCCACGCGTGGTGCCCGCACTATCCCAGCTCTCACCAAGCCCCGCTAGGGATGGTACTACACCCACCTACGGGGTGTAAGCAATGACGGTGCAGCGCACGCCGTGATGTGCTAGAGCCGGCCTCACACAGCAACCCACACGATGCTGTCCGCGACGTAAGAACATCGCACGCCACGGCCCTTCCGGACCGGCACCATACAGTGACAATTTATCGAGCATTTTTGTTTTTGCACGTGAGAAATAGAAATTAAAACACATGAGCAACAATCTTGATTTGAAGCTTTCGTGACTGCAGGAAACATTAGCAATAGCCTGTCCAACATATTTGATCCATTGAAAGCAAAATGCCATGATGCTCCACCCACAGAAACCCTGCAAGTGCCGGCATCTTCTAAGTGGGTGATGAGCCGCACCTTGGACGGTGACGGTGGCGCGGGTGGCCCCGTCGGGCGTCTCACACGAGTACTCCCCGCCGTCCTCCGGCCCCGCGCCAGCGATGGTGAGCGTGCGCGCCGCCCCGTCAGACGCGAAGCGGTGCCTCTTGCCGGGCCGCACCTTCACCCCGTCCTTCTTCCACTCCACGTCGCCCGCCTCCCGGCTCAGCCTGCAGCGCAGCACCAGAGGCTCGCCCGCCACGCCCCGCACGTCCGTCAGCGGCGCCGAGAACAGCAGCGGGGGCTCTGTGTCCACGGGGGAGAAGGGGGGGGGAGACGCACGCTCGGCGAGGGGGCAGCGGCGCAAGCAAAGGCGGCGCTCAGCGACGAGTCCCGCGGGCTGGCGGGCAGCGGCGGCGCGGCCTCACCCCTGACGCTGACGCTGAAGTCCACGGAGTCCCCGTCCGTGCGGCAGCCGTAGGACGCGGAGTCGTTCGTCCGGGCCTGCTGGATGACCAGGCGCCTCGCCAGCCCCACGCTCTCCAGCCTCACGCCGCTGGCCAGCGCCGCCAGCTCCTGCCCGTCCCTCAGCCACGTGACGGCGGCGTCCGCTCGGGACACCTCGCAGCTCAGCACCACCCGCTCCCCGGGGGCCACGTGCCACTCCGTCTGGGCGTCCGGGCGCCTGCGGAACGTGGCTGGCGGCTCTAAGGGATCAACAATACAACATGTGTGACCACATTCGTCATCACGAACAACATAATCGGATTAAATAGCACAAGAAGACGTAATTCTTCTTCTTCATATACGATAACAAATTCTATCTGAGGCTATGACTTTAATCTTCGAATGCCGAATGGAATTCACAAGAAGTCATAAACAAACACCTCGTGAAAGACTCAACGTAGAAGCTTCCATGAGGATGAAGGCCTACAACCCTGAAGTGCATCCACACAAACAATAGACACTTAATGTACAAATAGGAAAAAAAAAACCTCTCCATAGTGTGGTGACTCTGGTCACTCAGAACGGACCATGGATCATAGAACGACTCTGCCCCATCCACAAACACGAAGCAGGAGGCGTCGTCACAGCGATGCCCTCCGCTACTCGTGGCGCAATCATCTGGATCAACCACCTCAATGTTACATCGCAGTTCTTTCTCTACATCAACATCAGCCATCTGAAGAAGACTTCAGAAACGCGTTCTATTTCTTTAAATTCACTTCATACCATACGTGTTATTTTGTTGGCAGCCAATGTTCAACACCATGTGAAACTAGGCTCTAAGAAAAGCTGTCTCGGGTGTGGACCAATCAATTTCAAGGAGAGTGCATACATGATCAGAGTTGTGTTTTTTGTTTGCATTCCGACCGCAGGTATTGTGGTCAATGGAAACATGATTCCTTGTAAAAAAGGTGTCAGTTTTGTTGCCAGATAAAAGGGTAAAATAATCAAATTATCATATTTTGCTACTGGCAAAGGAGGTTCCAATGGAGCCAATGTACCCACCTCAGAAAAGCAACGACAAAATAACTTCCGTTGACTCAGTCAACACGTGAGCGTATAATGCACTGCAGTGAATATCCTGTGATCCGTGACCCTATTATCTGCTATTCCTGATATCCGCTAACTCCATTATCTACACTGCCATGCCACAAACGAAAACTCGTGTTATCCATCAATAGATTCTCCATCCATTCACGACAATGTATGGATGGGAGGAGTTTACCAAAGGTTGTTTCCCTAATTAGAATAGTTCATCCACATTTACCGATGGATGGGTCACCTGGAAGTGGTCTCCTAACATCGCTAAAATTATTATTTTAACCGCATCCATTCACGGACAAAAGGATCCGCCAATACCGATCCCTGCATCAATGCCCACAAATTTCGATTTAAAGCTTTCGTGACTGCAGGGATTCATCTTCTTGGTTCTTTCGGTAAAGTCACGTAGAAGGGAAGTAATAAAATAATAAAAATAAAACATAATAAAACAATTCTCACGACGTTTCGGCTACAACGCAAGCAGCCGTCTTCAGGTGAAGAATGAGACAATGCCAAGCTAGGAGCTTATATATAAGCTGCGTTGGAGGTGGAGGAAAGAGCGCCTTAACAAAAGAATGTGCATGTGAAGAGGAATTTAGCATATTCATGGAAAATGCGTAGGAGGTGGGCGGGGGGGTTTCAAAGTCATATTATGCCCATGCATTATGCAGGATCAACAGCACCAAGGGGGGGGTTCAGGGATTAGCAGTAACAAAGGAAAGGAATGTTAATGATATGTAGCTGCAGTTACTCAACCACCACGTAGAAAACTAAAGTATAAACTACATAAAAAACTAAAGTATAAATAGCATAGCACCATCAGTATACTTACTATACTCTACACTAAGCTGAGTTACTAACAGCAAGTAATACATTACAATTCTACGTCGTAAAAATTATATAATATGCTTCCATCTAAACTTTATTCTATTGCATCAACGAGCATATACCGTACTATATACTGCCAACATTAAATTACATTTAGTCGACATAGCGTTGATGCAATAGAATAAAGTTTAGATGGAAGCATATTATATAATTTTTACGACGTAGAATTGTAATGTATTACTTGCTGTTAGTAACTCAGCTTAGTGTAGAGTATAGTAAGTATACTGATGGTGCTATGCTATTTATACTTTAGTTTTTTATGTAGTTTATACTTTAGTTTTCTACGTGGTGGTTGAGTAACTGCAGCTACATATCATTAACATTCCTTTCCTTTGTTACTGCTAATCCCTGAACCCCCCCCTTGGTGCTGTTGATCCTGCATAATGCATGGGCATAATATGACTTTGAAACCCCCCCGCCCACCTCCTACGCATTTTCCATGAATATGCTAAATTCCTCTTCACATGCACATTCTTTTGTTAAGGCGCTCTTTCCTCCACCTCCAACGCAGCTTATATATAAGCTCCTAGCTTGGCATTGTCTCATTCTTCACCTGAAGACGGCTGCTTGCGTTGTAGCCGAAACGTCGTGAGAATTGTTTTATTATGTTTTATTTTTATTATTTTATTACTTCCCTTCTACGTGACTTTACCGAAAGAACCAAGAAGATGAATCCCTGCAGTCACGAAAGCTTTGAATCGAAATTTAACCGCCTCTACGGGGAGGGTTTCCACATAACTTTGAGATCCTTCAACAAGCTCCGGGATAAGAAGGCTCAGCTAATCGAGTCTCTCACCTTTCTGAAGAGATGCCGCGACTCTAAGAACCAAGAAGATGAATCCCTGCAGTCACGAAAGCTTTAAATCGAAATTTAACCGCCTCTACGGGGAGGGTTTCCACATAACTTTGAGATCCTTCAACAAGCTCCGGGATAAGAAGGCTCAGCTAATCGAGTCTCTCACCTTTCTGAAGAGATGCCGCGACTCTAAGGTAATACCAAACGCATTTACACTAACATCTGCTGCTGTAACTTCTTCTAATGCGAAACGAATTCTGTCTAGAACTAGTTTAGCCCTTATCTCAGAGAAAATCAGACTTACGCGCACCGAACTAGATCAGTTAGACAAGACACTCTACAAATCACACTTATCTTTGAGTGTAACAATGTCCACATCGGATTGGGAACATGTGGAAAAAATGACTGCCTCTTCAGCTGCCGCTATGTCGACTAAATGTAAGGACAACTTGATTTCCAAATTCAACCGCCTCTCAAACAAGAAACCGGACCCACACATTGAAAAGCTAGATGTTAACAAAGTCGTAATTAATCGCAGCAACAGTCCTATTTCTGAAGGTTTGAAATCCGTTTTAGCTAAAGGACTAAACTTTGCAGTCACACCTAGACACATACCAGTTAATGATATAATTGCTCGAGTAGATGTAGCTCTCAAGGGCTTGAGTCACATCGCTGCAGACGTAGCAAGATCTGAAATCTCTGTAACCCTCAAAAACGCTAAGATGCCAGCTAGCAACATTAGCAAAGATGAGCGTTTTGAATTAGCTCAATTAAAAAAGAGGGATGACATTGTCATCCTCTCAGCCGACAAAGGCAATGCCACTGTCATCATGGACAAAATAGAATACTACAACAAAATTCAAGAACTACTCAACGATGGCAGCTATACAAAAATAAAAAGAGACCCCACCAACAGCCTCGTCTCCAAAACCAACAACATCATTTCTGCTTCAACCGCATTAATTGATCAGACCAAACAGTTCTCGTTGAAACCTTCTGCAGCCAGGCCACCAAGATTGTACGGCTTGCCAAAGATACATAAAGAAGATACACCTCTTCGTCCCATTGTCTCTACTATCAACTCCCCCACTTACAAACTGGCTCGTTTTTTGTCCGAAATCCTACGGCCTTTCACTGGAAAAACCACCTCTGCAGTACTAAACTCTACTGACCTGGTATCGACAATCAAGGGGATTGCCCTGTCCCCAGACGACCTGCTTGTCAGTTTTGATGTGGTTTCCTTGTTCACCAAGGTGCCTGTGCCTGACACCATCGCAATCATTGAAGACTTGGTTCATCAAGGACTGAATGCTGGGGTACCCCCCCTGGTGAGACACTGCTTAACCAATACATACTTCACCTGGAATGGAACCTTCTACAAGCAAATTGAGGGCACCCCAATGGGCTCCCCCCTATCTCCGGTTGTAGCCAACATCTTCATGGAGAAATTTGAGACGGACGCCATCCAGACTGCCACTCTACGCCCGACCTTATGGAAGAGGTACGTAGACGACACTTTTGTCATCTGGCCACATGGCCGGCCTGCTCTAGACCAATTTCTCGACCACATCAATTCCATACACCCAGCCATCAGATTCACCATGGAAGTCGAAAATGATGGCAAGCTACCCTTTTTGGATGTCCTAATCAAAAGGAGACCTGATGGTTCAATGAGCCACTCTGTCTACAGGAAAGCCACCCACACGGATGCTTATCTAAAACCGGATTCCCACCACCATCCATCCCAGAAGAATTCCCTCATCAAGACTCTATATCATAGAGCCCAATGCATCTCCGACCATGAACACATTTCCAGTGAACTCAAACACGTACGCCAAGCTCTTAAGGCTAATGGTTACTCCGACTACACAATCCGCAAAGCCATCACTCCAACCATCAAGAAGGATCCTGTTGAGGAGCCTTTCAAGACCATCACCTTACCCTACATTGCTGGGGTCACAAAAAAGATCTCCAAAATCCTGATTAAACACAAGATCCAGGTCCGATTCAACACAGTACATAAAATCCGTGATCTGGTCCCGTCTGTAAAAGATGTGGTTCCAGACATACAGTACCCTGGCGTCTACAAACTAAGTTGCCTCTGTGGTAGCAGTTACATTGGAGAAACCAAACGACATGTCTCGGACCGCATCCGTGAACATAAGGCAGACCTGAAACACGGTAGGACAAACACCTCAGCCGTGGCAGATCACTGTTACAATTCAGTGGGCTCACATGACATTGACTTCTCCAAGACAGAGGTTCTCTGCAAGCCATCTGGCTATCATGAGAGATTCGTTCATGAGGCGATCCACATATACAAACACAGAGACAATTTTAACCGAGAAGATGGATTCTGGCTTAGCAATCATTGGAAGGACGTAATAAACCATTTCGACACACATTAGGGTGGGTAGAATAATACATAGTGTTATATTAAATGTATAAGATATAGGTTGGTTTACAGCAATACAGTATATAATTTAATGTTGGCAGTATATAGTACGGTATATGCTCGTTGATGAAATAGAATAAAGTTTAGATGGAAGCATATTATATAATTTTTACGACGTAGAATTGTAATGTATTACTTGCTGTTAGTAACTCAGCTTAGTGTAGAGTATAGTAAGTATACTGATGGTGCTATGCTATTTATACTTTAGTTTTTTATGTAGTTTATACTTTAGTTTTCTACGTGGTGGTTGAGTAACTGCAGCTACATATCATTAACATTCCTTTCCTTTGTTACTGCTAATCCCTGAACCCCCCCCCTTGGTGCTGTTGATCCTGCATAATGCATGGGCATAATATGACTTTGAAACCCCCCCGCCCACCTCCTACGCATTTTCCATGAATATGCTAAATTCCTCTTCACATGCACATTCTTTTGTTAAGGCGCTCTTTCCTCCACCTCCAACGCAGCTTATATATAAGCTCCTAGCTTGGCATTGTCTCATTCTTCACCTGAAGACGGCTGCTTGCGTTGTAGCCGAAACGTCGTGAGAATTGTTTTATTATGTTTTATTTTTATTATTTTATTACTTCCCTTCTACGTGACTTTACCGAAAGAACCAAGAAGATGAATGCCCACAAAGTTCACTACGTTTGTGGCAAGTCCATTTGTGTTTCCGAAGACTGAATAACAAACCACAGCAATAGCCAGTGCAATATATGTTGTGCATCAAAAAGAACCACGATGCTGTAAGTGCAGAGATGTGTTGAGTGGGAGATGAGCCGAACCTTGGACGGTGACGGTGGCGCGGGTGGCCCCGTCGGGCGTCTCACACGAGTATTCTCCGCCGTCCTCCGGCCCCGCGCCAGCGATGGTGAGCGTGCGCGCCGCCCCGTCAGACGCGAAGCGGTGTCTCTTGCCGGGCCGCACCTTCACCCCGTCCTTCTTCCACTCCACGTCGCCCGCCTCCCGGCTCAGCCTGCAGCGCAGCACGAGAGGCTCCCCCGCCACGCCCCGCACGTCCATCAGCGGCGCCGAGAACAGCAGCGGGGGCTCTGTGTCCACGGGGGAGAAGGGGGGGGGAGATGCACGCTCGGCGAGGGGGCAGCGGCGCAAGCAAAGGCGGAGGCGGCGCTCGGCGACAAGTCCCGCGGGCTGGCGGGCAGCGGCGGCGCGGCCTCACCCTTGATGCTGACGCTGAAGCCCACGGAGTCCCCATCCGTGCGGCAGGTGTAGGACGCGGAGTCGGTCGTCCGGGCCTGCTGGATGACCAGGCGCCTCGCCAGCCCTACGCTCTCCAGCCTCACGCCGCTGGCCGGCGCCGCCAGCTCCTGCCCATCCCTCAGCCACGTGACAGCGGCGTCCGCCCGAGACACCTCGCAGCTCAGCACCACCCGCTCCCCGGGGGCCACGTGCCACTCCGTCTGGGCATCCGGGCGCCTGCGGAACGTGGCTGGCGGCTCTAAGGGATCAACAATACAACATGTATGACCACATTGAATTGTAAAAAAAAATATTAAAACTACATAGTGCCCCTTGCAAAATGAGCAAAATGGATCTGGTAACATTCGGTTATGTCTTCACAAATGATTGCTATGAATGTGATTCTATAGTTGGTAGAGGGGCATTTCGCCTGGCGTACCACCATGCTTATTCAGTTTTTCTACCATTTCCAAGACAGAGTGCTCCGTCCAGTTTAAATGTCTCTCCCCTACCATGTGAATAACACCCAGCATCTGTAAGTTCTCCCTACCTGATATCCTATTGCATGGGCTGCAAGTGCACCTTGCTCAGTGCAGATGTGGCAAGACAAGGGCAGTGACGTGGCCTAGCAGAGTTCAATGCTCTTTGCTGAAGTTTGCAGCTCAAATGTGTAGTGAGTCCAACTGAGTCACAGACGTTATTCTTTAGAGGCAACATATTTATTGTAACACGTACATACAAAGGGGTAACTGCCCCTTTACCAGATACAGCCTGGGGTGGTGACCACCCAGCTAACTCCACTATACACAGGAGTTACAGCTACGAAGGGTCAGACCCTCACTCGAGTCCCCGGCCACGTGTTGATGCCTTGTAGGATGTAGAACTTCCAGCTTGTAGATGGGGAGCTTCCAGCTTGTAGAACGAAGCGACCCGGTCCCTCTCATGGACCCACCTTATATCCTCCTGGGTCGGGGCCGGCTCCGCCCTCGGCTCCGCCCGCCTTCTCGAGCGTTCTAGCTCCCTCTCGATCCCCTTTGAGAGCTCTCCCCGTACACGTGATCACCCCCTAGCCCCCCCCACCTGGGGGCCTCTCTGTGGACACTCCAGATCACGTGTCTACGGGGTCAACCAGAGTGCCTCTTCCCTGGGCAACCCTGTACCTGGGCTGACACTCTCCCGCTCCCCCTTGTGGGAGCCCGCACTGCACGCCACGCATGGTGCCTGCACTATCCCAGCGCTCACCAAGGCCCGCTAGGGCTGGTACTACACCCACCTACGGGGTGTACGCGATGACGGTGCAGCGCACGCCGTGCTGTGCTAGAGCCGGCCTCACACAGCAACCCACACGATGCTGTCCGCGACGTAAGAACATCGCACGCCACAGCCCTCCCGGGCCGGCACCATACAGTGACAATTTATCGAGCATTTTTGTTTTTACACGTGAGAAATAGAAATTAAAATACATGAGCAACAATCTTGATTTGAAGCTTTCGTGACTGCAGGACACATTAGCAATAGCCTGTCCAACATATTTGATCCATTGAAAGCAAAATGCCATGATGCTCGACCCACAGAAACCCTGCAAGTGCCGGCATTTTCTGAGTGGGTGATGAGCCGAACCTTGGACGGTGACGGTGGCGCGGGTCGCCCCGTCGGGCGTCTCACACGAGTACTCTCCGCCGTCCTCCGGCCCCGCGCCAGCGATGGTGAGCGTGCGCGCCGCCCCGTCAGACGCGAAGCGGTGCCTCTTGCCGGGCCGCACCTTCACCCCGTCCTTCTTCCACTCCACGTCGCCCGCCTCCCGGCTCAGCCTGCAGCGCAGCACCAGAGGCTCGCCCGCCACGCCCAGCACGTCCGTCAGCGGCGTCGAGAACAACAGCGGGGGCTCTGTGTCCACGGGGGAGAAGGGGGGGGGAGACGCACGCTCGGCGAGGGGGCAGCGGCGCAAGCAAAGGCGGAGGCGGCGCTCGGCGACGAGTCCCGTGGGCTGGCGGGCAGCGGCGGCGCGGCCTCACCCTTGACGCTGACGCTGAAGCCCACGGAGTCCGCGTCCGTGCGGCAGCCGTAGGATGCGGAGTCGTTCGTCCGGGCCTGCTGGATGACCAGGCGCCTCGCCAGCCCCACGCTCTCCAGCCTCACGCCGCTGGCCGATGCCGCCAGCTCCTGCCCGTCCCTCAGCCACGTGACGGCGGCGTCCGCCCGGGACACCTCGCAGCTCAGCACAACCCGCTCCCCGGGGGCCACGTGCCACTCCGTCTGGGCGTCTGGGCGCCTGCGGAACGTGGCTGGCGGCTCTAGGGGATCAACAAAACAACTTGTATGACCACATTGAATTGTAAAAAAAAAAAACTACATAGTGCCTCTTCCAAAATGAGCAAAATGGATTTCATAACATTCGGTTATGATTGCTTTGAATGTGATTCTATAGTTGGTAGAGGGGCATTTTGCCTGGCGTACGACTCTGCTTATTCAGTTTTTCTACCATTTCCAAGACAGAGTGCTCCGTCCAGCTTGAATGTCTCTCCCCTACCATGTGAATAACACCCAGCATCTATAAATTCTCCCTACCTGATACCCGATTGCATAGGCTGCAAGTAAGTGCACCTTGCTCAGTGCAGATGTGGCAAGACAAGGGCAGTGACGTGGCCTAGCAGTGTTCAACGCTCTTTGCTGAAGTTTGCAGCTCTAATGTGTAGTGAGTTCAACTGAGTCACAGACGTTGTTCTTTAGAGGCAACACATTTATTGTAACACGTATATACAAAGCGATAACTGCCCCTTTACCAGATACAGCCTGGGGTGGTGACCACCCAGCTAACTACACTATACACAGGAGTTACAGCTACGAAGGGTCAGACCCTCACTCGAGTCCCCGGCCACGTGTTGATGCCTTGTAGGATGTAGAACTTCCAGCTTGTAGATGGGGAGCTTCCAGCTTGTAGAACGAAGCGACCCGGTCCCTCTCATGGACCCACCTTATATCCTCCTGGGTCGGGGCCGGCTCCGCCCTCGGCTCCGCCCGCCTTCTCGAGCGTTCTAGCTCCCTCTCGATCCCCCTCGAGAGCTCTCCCCGTACACGTGATCACCCCCTAGCCCCCCCCACCTGGGGGCCTCTCTGTGGACACTCCAGATCACGTGTCTACGGGGTCAACCAGAGTGCCTCTTCCCTGGGCAACCCTGTACCTGGGCTGACACTCTCCCGCTCCCCCTTGTGGGAGCCCGCACTGCACGCCACGCATGGTGCCTGCACTATCCCAGCGCTCACCAAGGCCCGCTAGGGCTGGTACTACACCCACCTACGGGGTGTACGCGATGACGGTGCAGCGCACGCCGTGCTGTGCTAGAGCCGGCCTCACACAGCAACCCACACGATGCTGTCCGCGACGTAAGAACATCGCACGCCACAGCCCTCCCGGGCCGGCACCATACAGTGACAATTTATCGAGCATTTTTGTTTTTACACGTGAGAAATAGAAATTAAAATACATGAGCAACAATCTTGATTTGAAGCTTTCGTGACTGCAGGACACATTAGCAATAGCCTGTCCAACATATTTGATCCATTGAAAGCAAAATGCCATGATGCTCGACCCACAGAAACCCTGCAAGTGCCGGCATTTTCTGAGTGGGTGATGAGCCGAACCTTGGACGGTGACGGTGGCGCGGGTCGCCCCGTCGGGCGTCTCACACGAGTACTCTCCGCCGTCCTCCGGCCCCGCGCCAGCGATGGTGAGCGTGCGCGCCGCCCCGTCAGACGCGAAGCGGTGCCTCTTGCCGGGCCGCACCTTCACCCCGTCCTTCTTCCACTCCACGTCGCCCGCCTCCCGGCTCAGCCTGCAGCGCAGCACCAGAGGCTCGCCCGCCACGCCCAGCACGTCCGTCAGCGGCGTCGAGAACAACAGCGGGGGCTCTGTGTCCACGGGGGAGAAGGGGGGGGGAGACGCACGCTCGGCGAGGGGGCAGCGGCGCAAGCAAAGGCGGAGGCGGCGCTCGGCGACGAGTCCCGTGGGCTGGCGGGCAGCGGCGGCGCGGCCTCACCCTTGACGCTGACGCTGAAGCCCACGGAGTCCACGTCCGTGCGGCAGCCGTAGGACGCGGAGTCGTTTGTCCGGGCCTGCTGGATGACCAGGCGCCTCGCCAGCCCCACGCTCTCCAGCCTCACGCCGCTGGCCGATGCCGCCAGCTCCTGCCCGTCCCTCAGCCACGTGACGGCGGCGTCCGCCCGGGACACCTCGCAGCTCAGCACAACCCGCTCCCCGGGGGCCACGTGCCACTCCGTCTGGGCGTCCGGGCGCCTGCGGAACGTGGCTGGCGGCTCTAGGGGATCAACAAAACAACTTGTATGACCACATTGAATTGTAAAAAAAAAAAACGACATAGTGCCTCTTCCAAAATGAGCAAAATGGATTTCATAACATTCGGTTATGATTGCTTTGAATGTGATTCTATAGTTGGTAGAGGGGCATTTTGCCTGGCGTACGACTCTGCTTATTCAGTTTTTCTACCATTTCCAAGACAGAGTGCTCCGTCCAGCTTGAATGTCTCTCCCCTACCATGTGAATAACACCCAGCATCTATAAATTCTCCCTACCTGATACCCGATTGCATAGGCTGCAAGTAAGTGCACCTTGCTCAGTGCAGATGTGGCAAGACAAGGGCAGTGACGTGGCCTAGCAGTGTTCAACGCTCTTTGCTGAAGTTTGCAGCTCTAATGTGTAGTGAGTTCAACTGAGTCACAGACGTTGTTCTTTAGAGGCAACACATTTATTGTAACACGTATATACAAAGCGATAACTGCCCCTTTACCAGATACAGCCTGGGGTGGTGACCACCCAGCTAACTACACTATACGTAGGAGTTACAGCTACGAAGGGTCAGACCCTCACTCGGGTCCTCGGCCACGTGTTGATGCCTCGTAGGATGTAGAACTTCCAGCTTGTAGACGTGGAGCTTCTAGCTTGCAGAACGAAGCGACCCGGTCCCTCTCAGGGACCCACCTTTTATCCTCCCGGGCCGGGGCCGGCTCCGCCCTCGGCCACACCCGCCTTCTCAAGCGTTCCAGCTCTCTCTCGATCCCCCTCGAGAGCTCTCCCTGGACATGTAATCACCCCCTAGCCCCCCCACCTGGGGGCCTCTCTGTGGACACTCCAGATCACGTGTCTACGGGGTCAACCAGAGTGCCTCTTCCCTGGGCAACCCTGTACCTGGGCTGACACTCTCCCGCTCCCCCTTGTGGGAGCCCGCACTGCACGCCACGCATGGTGCCTGCACTATCCCAGCGCTCACCAAGCCCCGCTAGGGCTGGTACTACACCCACCTACGGGGTGTACGCGATGACGGTGCAGCGCACGCCGTGCTGTGCTAGAGCCGGCCTCACACAGCAACCCACACGATGCTGTCCGCGACGTAAGAACATCGCACGCCACAGCCCTCCCGGGCCGGCACCATACAGTGACAATTTAACGAGCATTTTTGTTTTTACACGTGAGAAATAGAAATTAAAATACATGAGCAACAATCTTGATTTGAAGCTTTCGTGACTGCAGGACACATTAGCAATAGCCTGTCCAACATATTTGATCCATTGAAAGCAAAATGCCATGATGCTCGAAGCACAGAAACCCTGCAAGTGCCGGCATCTTCTGAGTGGGTGATGAGCCGAACCTTGGACGGTGACGGTGGCGCGGGTCGCCCCGTCGGGCGTCTCACACGAGTACTCTCCGCCGTCCTCCGGCCCCGCGCCAGCGATGGTGAGCGTGCGCGCCGCCCCGTCAGACGCGAAGCGGTGCCTCTTGCCGGGCCGCACCTTCACCCCGTCCTTCTTCCACTCCACGTCGCCCGCCTCCCGGCTCAGCCTGCAGCGCAGCACCAGAGGCTCGCCCGCCACGCCCAGCACGTCCGTCAGCGGCGTCGAGAACAACAGCGGGGGCTCTGTGTCCACGGGGGAGAAGGGGGGGGGAGACGCACGCTCGGCGAGGGGGCAGCTGCGCAAGCAAAGGCGGAGGCGGCGCTCGGCGACAAGTCCCGCGGGCTGGCGGGCAGCGGCGGCGCGGCCTCACCCTTGACGCTGACCGTGAAGTCCACGGAGTCCCCGTCCGTGCGGCAGCTGTAGGACGCGGAGTCGTTCGTCCGGGCCTGCTGGATGACCAAGCGCCTCGCCAGCCCCACGCTCTCCAGCCTCACGCCACTGGCCAATGCCGCCAGCTCCTGCCCGTCCCTCAGCCACGTGACGGCGGCGTCCGCTCGGGACACCTCGCAGCTCAGCACCACCCGCTCCCCGGGGGCCACGTGCCACTCCGTCTGAGCATCCGGGCGTCTGCGGAACGTGGCTGGCGGCTCTAAGGGATCAACAAAACAACATTTGTTATATTTACTCTTGCCATTGGTTTATTTTACTCAGTGTCTTTTGCATACATTCATAATTGTGCTCAATTCCAGAAGAGCACAAGCCAGTTCAACTGCCTATGATGAGGAAGGAAAAAAACGTGGCTGATCTTTTTGGGGAACCTTGAATATGGCGCTTTTTTATACATTTTGAATGACGTTTTGTTTCTTTCTCATATGCAGATTCTTTAGGAAGACTACTCAAACAAACTCTTTGACAATTTCTAATTCGCCTCATGCAACTTCATAAAACTGACATTTCACGCATTTCCGACAATTTCCCAGCGGGTGGTAATATCTGACACGACGACGACGTCCGCTCACACGCGTGCCGCCCACTTCGGCGGCGTGAGTCGCCCCCAACCGCCCCCTGACCTTTGACGATGAGCTTCATCTGGGCGCGGACGGGATCCGACACGAACTGGATGCTGGCGCCGCTCTCGCCCGGGCGTGCCGCGCGGATCATCAGCGTGTGAGTGTTCCGTGTGTGCTGCACTGCGTGCCGCTCGCTCGCCCGCACCGCCTCGCCATCGATGGACCAGCTCCCCGCCGCGCCGCCCGACAGTTCCACCACAAAGACGGCGTCCTCGCCGGCGAGCACCTCCACGTCCCGCGGCACGGACGCCAGCGACAGGCGGCTCTCCGGCACTGCGGCACGCGGACGACACGCCGGGTAAGCGCCGATCGATGCCGGACGTGCCGTGCGAGGGACGTGCGGCGATGGGGCGAGGTTTGTTTAGCGATCCCACAGCGAGTTTCCGACACGCCCGCTATGATGTCCGCAGTGTTGTCACGTGGGGATATTTTACGATTCAAATTAGCCCGGTAATTTTGAGCCTGGTAAGTATCGGATGCCAGGTGCGGTAGGCATTTGAGGTGAGAGGTGGGCACGAGATGTCAATGCCGAGCAGGACCCCCCCACGTACACACGAGGCCAAACGCCTGTTGGTGAGATTGGCCGCACGTCCCAATGCGGCGGCGGCGCCGTCACACTCACCGATGTAGTAGGTGCCCGGAACCTCCACACAGAGGCTGCGGCCGGCTTTGTTGATGGCCGAGATGCGGAAGAGGTAGTCGCCTTCTTCAGGGAGGTTGCCCACGCGCAACTCCGTGCCGGGCACGCTGGCCGAGTCGTGGCAGCGCCCCCATGCAGAGTTCCCCAGGAGGCAGTACTCCACCACGAAGGCCTCGTCCGCCTCCGCCGCCACCGCCTTACCCTTCTTGGGCCCCGGTTTCCAGGCCAGCATGACCCAGTTCTCCGATTGTGAGGTCACCTTGGGGTCGGTTGGAGCACCAGGTGGAGCCAGGCGTGGGGCTAATGCACGGGATGCAGGTCACACACAGACACGCACACGGACACCATAATCTTCAAAAATCTATACATTTTTTTATTGGTAATCAATATCTAAAAAATGAGGAGCCAAATTAGCAAACGTGAACATTTCCATGATGTTAACTCTTCATCTTGTACGTATGAATATTGATTGATGAACTTGCTGAACACTATTCAACTTTATCGGTTACAAGCCACGTACAACTAGACACGTGGGTAAACCGATTCTAACACTCTCTGTAAATGTATGTATGTTGAACTTATTTGGCACTGTACTAAGCCTACCGTGCTAATCGGAGGTGTGGGAGAAGGACAACAACCTAAACACAAAACGAGCTTCGAAACAAATGAGTTTTCAATTTAAATTTAAATGTGCATAGGTCCAGTGGCTTCTAATATCAGAAAAAAGAGCGTTCCAGACGGCTGCAAAAGCGCATCTGAAAGCGTGCGACGCGTTAACCATCTTCGTAGAGACCTGTGACAATGAGCTGTGACGACGTCTTCGAGTCTCCGCAGACGAAGCTGACCTCGCCCGCGTCCGCCTGGGTTACTCCCGCCAGCGTGAGCGAGTGACTCTTCCCATCCACCTTAACCACTGCCCGGGCTCCCGCGTCGATCTCCTCGCCGTTCCTCAGCCACCGGCCGCCAACCCCCTCCTGGTCCAGCTCCACCAGGAAGTGAGCCACCTCCTTCTCTCGGACCTCGGTGCGTCGGGGAAGCTTCTGGACAATGGCACCTGCAATAGCAACATCAATAATAATGATAACAAACGGTAAAGTTAAAGGCGCATCCCTACAACTGGCCGCCGTGGTGGCGAGATGTTCACTACCTCGCCTGGAGGTCGTGGGTTCAATCCCGACCCTGACGCCTGCTGCATATTTTGAGTTTGTATGTTCTCCCCGCCGTCGCATGCATTTTTCACCGGGTCATCCGGTTTTTCCCTCCACATTCAGAGTATTTGGCTGCTATACATTTACAGATGAAAAGCCACTTCGTTGAGCTATCATTTGTGGCCAGATCGCTTCTGAAAAAAATCTAATAGCTCAATGGGTCCTACCTGGTAAAATAAAAATAGTTAAATTGCTCGATTACACCACCATGGCCAGAAGTGCCTCCACTCAGGGAAGCCCTAGATGTATTTTATATATTCTGGAAGGCCTCGTTATGACTCAAGACTCTCTTCAAGAGGGTCCTACATTGAGATGTCTGGAAAACTGCGCACGCGAGGAAATCCTGCGGCGCGTATCAGGAGAGAACACCGAATAACGAAGCTTCAAACTTGCGTTGGGCAGTCTGGGACGCAAAGTCAATGTTTGCAGCTACAAGATAAGAGACACTTGGCTTTATCTTTAACCGGCAAATAATATTTTAAGTAAAACGCGAGCCCGGAACAGCACGCCGCGTGGCTCGCATAACCGTGAAGGCGGGGAGGAGGTAAAAGGTGGCGAAAGGGTAACGCGTGAACGTCGGCAACCAAGGAAGCGAGGCGAGCGCGTCGCCGTCACCTTTCACGGAGAGCTCGGCGACGGTGCGGCTCCCCTCGGGCATCTCGCACACGTACACCGCCTCGTCGTCCGCCGTCACGTTGCAGATGGTGAGGCGCCGCATCGTGCCCTCCTCCTCCATCACGTACTTGTCGGCCTTCGGCGCCAGCGGCGTCTCCTCCATGAACCAGCTGGCACGCGCCGACTCGGCCGGCACCTCGCACTGCAGCGTCGCCGACTGCCGCTCCATCACCTCCACGTCGCGCAGCCGCTCCTTGAAGGGCACCAGCGGCTCTGCGCACGACGACGCCGCGCCGCCGAGCACCTCCGATCAGCACGGTTGGCTACGTACGGTGCGAAAGAAGTTCAACGTGCAGCGCACACGTGCATAGATCCCACGGTAGTGACTCACCGTTGACGATGAGCTGCACGGGACTGTACGTCTTGCCCACCACGTTGGTGGCCGTGCAGGTGTACAGCCCCCTGTCGCTCTGCTTGCAGAAGAGGACCTTGAGGATGTAGTAGCCCTCGTCGTCCTCGTAGATCATGTGACGGCGCCCCGGGGAGATCACCTCGTCGTCCTTCTTCCACACGATTTCGGGCTTGGGCTTCCCCGTGACGTAGCAGCTGAGGCGGGCGTGCTTGCCCTCCCTCACCTGTGGCCCAGGAGATCACGGACACGAAACGGGAATGGAGGAAACTTGCCGTGGCGGTTTACGGTTAGGGGGGCGGTGGGGCCAGGCACTCCCTCATGAAAGAAGAATACATTTAAAACGACCTTAACAATGTTTATCTGTTCATTATAAAGATGATAAACCACAAACACCCCCTTCCCCCTACTCCCCCTACCCCACCCTCACAGACTTCCATGCCCCGGCAATATATTTACCCAATAGCTGCCACAAATGGACCACAATATCTCGCTGATCTCGCCAATGAGCAATAAACCACCATCACGCGAACTCCATCCGGTCATCCTCGCAGTAGCAGCAGCAGCGGCGGCTTTTGGCTCACCATCGAACACAGGCGGCGGTCACCGCATCGCACGGCGCTTTCAGATGCGCTTCTGCGGCCATCTGGAACGCTCGGAGCTATCTACACGTTTAAATCATCATCTAGATTGACATAGAGAATTGTTTTTTGTGTTTAATTTGTTGTCCTTTCCCCGCACCTCCGATCAGCACGGTTGCCTAAATACAGTGCGAAAGAAGTTCAACATGAATTTATTTACAGAGAGTGTTAGAAGTGGTTGGCCCACGTGTCTGGTTGTACGTGACTTGCAACCGATAAAGTGGAGTAGTGTTCAGCAAGTTGAGCGGAGGAAACCACTGAGACCCAACACCTTCCTGTTCATGAGATCTCTCCCTCTCCGGCTCATGGCTCAAGCTCCCAAAATTCCAACCCCTCTCTTCACCACCACGCAACACCACACAACACAAGGCCACGCAACACAACAGTGGTGACGAGAGGTCGAGAGCTATGGCAAGCAAAGGGCAGTCGAGGTGTGGCTCCCCTCTTGCCTTCCTCATCAACAGTGGCTCTGAGGTAACCAACACCGCTGTGTGCAGATGAACGTCAGACACCCAGCGTCGTCATTAAGCACACGGCATGGCCTGCGGCTAGCGGGGTTTGTTTTTAAGTAAAGAAGAGAGTTGCCAACTTTCCCGACAGGAATTTTATTTTCTCTAACAGATTTATCTCGTATTCTTAGGTGTTTTCGGTAAAGTCACGTAGGTAAAAAATTTAAAATTAAAATTAATAAAATAAAAATAAAATAAAAATCACGACGTTTCGGAGGCAATACAAGCTTCCGTCTTCAGGTGGAACCGTCACAAACCGAACCGAACCGTCACAGCCCGACAGCTGATACAGCTGTCGGGCTGTGATGGTTCCACCTGAAGACGGAAGCTTGTGTTGCCTCCAAAACGTCGTGATTTTTATTTTATTTTATTAATTTTAATTTTTTACCTACGTGACTTTACCGAAAAAACCTAAGAATATCAATCCTTGCAGTCACGAAAGCTTCAAATCTAGAATTAGATTTATCTCGATTTGAAGCTTTCGTGACTGCAGGAATCCATACTCTTTGATTCTTTCGGTAAAGTCACGTAGTTAGAAATCAAATAAAAATGCTCTCTCGCCTACTTCAGCATTTTTATTGCTGTGGTTGTTCCACCTGATGAAGATCGCTTGTGTTGCGATCGAAACGTCGTGATTTGTTTTATTTTATTTCATTTCTACCTACGTGACTTTACCGAAAGAACCAAGGAGTAACAGATTTATGTTTGTGCACAAGTTTGACGTGTCCTGTAATGGTATTGTTTTTGCACTGATTCATATTAGGTTGATTTTAATTTCTTCGGTTAAAGTCTTACTTTGTTTTATTCCTTCTGTAATTTTGGTGACAACCCAGATCACTCTTGCAAACAAGACTCATCCTGGTGTCTTCGCTTTTCACCTGGTTAAACAAAGTAAACTTGAACCATGTTCATACCGAGGTTCATTATACAATCTTTATGAAAGACACGCACCTATCACGGTCACGAGAACGAGAAGCAGATCAGTGCAATATCGTCACTGGACTGCAACCTCCATGTGCCAGCGATGGAACAGGAAGCCAGTAATTGTTTATCTTGCTACTTTGGCATGATATTGCACCCTCGGCCCACCCATTGCGGCGTTGGAAAACCCAAAGCGTTTGTCAATAGCCTTAAAAGGAAAAGTGTATACAAAGTGTATACAAAGTGTAAATTATCGGCCCTTCTTCTTATTCCATGTCCTACGGAGAAGGTTCATTGCCCACTACATATTTTATCATATATTTAGTTTTCCTTTGAATGCCACAGTGTTTTTGACCCTGTGACCTTAATGTCATTGCGGTTTTTTGTTGACGTTTTATTTTTATTTTGCTCGTGCACCACCGCCAATGCAGTGTCGGTGAACGATTTTGCTTCAACGCGGCAGCGTCGGTGTCGTCAAGAGAGGCCCGTGAGCGGCGCGGGGCAGGCGGCGTGCCCTGCTGAGGACCCCCACCACGCACCTTGAAGGTTTTCGTCAAGTTCTTGTCGTCGTGGTTCTCCTCCATTCGCACGGGCGAGCGCGACGGGCTGTAGCCCTACAAGCAGAGGCGCGCGGTCAGTCAGCGGAGCGTCACCGCTCACCCGTTGACGCTTCAGTGACAGGTGATGAATCGTGACGGTAACAGGGTTTACTTTGTCAATGTGTAGCGGGGTTTCTCAATTACGATTGTCGAGTGCCTCCCGTGTACAGCTGTTTACCATGTTTACCACCAGGTGCGTGCAGTGTGTAGTGTCCTCGATCGCATTTGAATATAAGATGCTGAAATAACGATATCAACAAATTCAGGGTGATTTTGTCACAGGCCAACGTGAATTGCTGCGTGTCTGCTGTGACGCTGCGTGTCTGCTGTGATGCTGCAGTCTGCTACTTGTGTCACCACCGCGTGGCAGAGTGGACAGGACAGGTGTGAGGAGAAGTTCATCACTCGAAACCAAACTCGCTGCACCCAACTCGGTTACATCTGGGAATGCGTTTCGCCTGTTAATGCAGTCGGGCGTTTACTGCGGTCCAACAGCGGCAGGAGTTGTATTAATCTTAGTGCTTTGAGCAAGACTACAATGGCCTTTCCATTAATTGAAGAGTGTATTTAGTCGTACGCGCGTACATATTTTTGTAAATACACCAACATTTCGACGCGGGATTCCCTGCGGTCTCAACTAATTCGTCGTCAGACAGCGCGCTGGAATGTGTAGGAGACGATGTGCGCTGGTGACACCGCTCTTGCCAGCTGACAAGAAGGAATGAGAATTTCCCAGAACTGAGAAGGTCACCTGCTGGAACGGGCAGGAAGGGGGAGGTGGGATGGGGCACACCAAGCCTCAAACTACGGCCCTGCCGCTACCCTGAACTTAGCAGCCACTAGCATAGTGCTACGCTTACTCCTAACGTACACGAGCTAACCCCCGCAAGCCAACCGGTATTCATTCTACCGCTACCCCTAATCACACAAACTAATCAGTCGCTAGTATTATCCCTTACCTTCTGCGGCCGTCTGGAACGCTCTTCCTTCCGATATTCGGAACCCACTGGAGCGATGCACTTTTAAATCATCGTCTAGATTGACAACCTAATTTCTTTAGAACTGCGTTTTGTGTTTGGTATGTTGTTCCCCCACTCCCACGCACCTTCGATTAGCACGGCCGGCTACGTGCAGTGTGAAAGAAGTTCAACATACACGCATACATACCTTGACCGAGTAGCCACGCAGAAAGTGAACACGCACTCATCCTGCGCTCATCCCTACTGGCAGCCCCCGCACCGGCGAGAAGCAACGGGCTTCTCCGATCTGCTAACTCGGCGCTTGCCACTGGCCCGGGTCCAGTCTCCAGGCTCTGTCGGCGCTTCCACAACTCGGCCCCCAAGGTAAAGCTACCAAATGTCCTGGTTTTGGGCCAGGTCAGTGCTCTTTTCAGAAAGGCTACGCTGATGCGTCTCGAAACGTTTGAGAAAATCAGCGTCTTGTCCCGAATGTAAATATTTTCTAGCCTCGTGCCGAGGGCAGGGGACTACCTTTGTAAATATTTTCTAGCCTCGTGCCGAGGGCAGGGGACTACCTCTGGGCAGCGTGCACAGTTGGCAGAGGGGCTAGTTATTGAGTGGGCGGGGCTACGTGATAGTGGGCGGGGTTCACGTAGAAACCAGCTGCCACTTAAAAAAATCGGTCGCGGTCAGCGTTAGGTTCAGCCAATCATCTCGTCGGGTTCCATAAAATAAGGGCCACTTTGGTTGAGGTGTGGATAAACGATGTGTGCCGGCTGAACGTTTTGCAGAACCAGAACTGTGGCAGCTTTCCCGCGACCCTCACCGTGTAGAGGCTGGAGGTGGAGGAGGAGTTGGAGGTGTAGTCCCTGGTGAGGCGGTAGCTGTAGGAGGAGCGGCTGTGGTACTCGTCGACATGTCCAGCCACAGGAGAATGAGTCCGGGACTGCAGTGACAACACAGCACGTGTGCCTCTCAGCTACGCACGCACGCACGCCAGCGGGCGGTGGCTCTCATTTTCCTTCATTTACCCAGGGAGTGTATCACCAAGTCAAATGAAGGTCTTTATTCAGCAGTGCCCTCGAATAATCTCTGCGGCATTTGGTGCCTGTCCAAAAATAAACACACGTTAGTTCATAATAAAAAAAATCACTGCACGTTTTATTTAATTTTATCACGATTGTTTCACTTCCGTAACCGAGGAAAGCCACACCGACTCTCAACACTAATTCTCAGGAGGGTCCTGTGCATTTAGATATTTGGCCAATTGGATTGATGAGAATTTGGCTTCTCGTGGGAGGCTCTACACACACCGAGGCTCTACACACGCCGAGGCTCTACACACACGGACACATTACATTTTCTTTTGTACTGCAATTTCCTGGCCACCTTGCAGCTCAGCAGGACTGGGAGTTTCACGAATCGGCACGGTACACCCAGTATCACCTCCAAAGCTGCCGGAACACCGGTGTGTGCCACCATCACGACAGGTCTAATACTGTAGGAATAATAAGCCGCACAGTATTCACTCCCTCTCAAAAAGCGTAAATGACTCAGATGCACAAAGAAACCCAGACAAGAGGGAAAAGCAGGCAGGCAGTAACCCAATGCCCCAAGTTCTGTGCTCCTCTATATATGAAGGTGTTATAACAGACAATTGTTGAGTGTTTAGATGTGGGGGGAACCGGAACACCTGGAGAAAATCCACGCGTGCGAGGGAGAAACACTCTATCCCATACAGAGGGAACAGGTGGAGTTCACATTTTCTGTACCAGCTTATCCTGGCAAGCAAAGGAATGGCACATTGACACCGAAGGGAAGGAAGGCTGCACAATATTTATGCAATCCGCCAACCCTCGCCTCCAACAAATGCCAGATTAGCGGCGTGCGCCACCACCGCCCGGCCAGTGCCAGGAGGAAAAATGTCAGACGAGCACGGCGCCGCATACCGAGGGCGCGCTCCTCGACGGAGAGAGGTATCCGTCCGGGGAGGCGGTGGGCGACGTCGACCGCGACAGGGTCACGTGGGGCGCCCCCAGGAGCCGGGCGTCCCCGCGCCGCGTGTAGGGGCTCAGGCGGGCGAGGCGCGCGTCGGCGCTCTGCCGCAGCAGCTCCAGCTTCTTGCGCTCGTGGTCACGTGTCGTGTGCAGGTGCGAGTGCGGCAGCGACTTCGCCTCCTCGCTCCACCTGCGAGCGCGGGTCACAGCGGTCGCGCGCGGCCGTGAGACGAGGCTGTGCAAGAGTTGTACGGATTGTTTTATATATTGCGCAATAATACCTCTTCAACCTGACCAAGAGACAGAATGAGAAACAATAGCAATGGAACACAATAAAAATATTTTTTTAAATCAAATCTCTAATCGAATTCTGACCCCCGAATAACATTGTGACCCCATAAGTGATTTAAAAATGTATTACTGCTTAGTATGAAACCTTTTTTTATTTCTGATTTTATTCAGCATTTACTGCTTCACAAGATCACATATTGAGTTTCTTTATGCAGCAAAACCCATGTCTTTTAACAGCGAACAGGGCCTCATGGTGAAGACAGAATCTTCTTGCTAATAATTTCGGGAAAGGCAAGCAGTTTTTTATTATCAAGCCTGACAAGGCATTTGAGATGCAAACGGTGAAAACCAGTCCCAAAGTTTTCTTGATGAAACAACACGGGCTAGTGGATTCAAACATTCTTTATTTATACCAACTGCAACATCATATTTTTGATTTAAAGGCCAGTAACTTGGATGCAACAGGCGAGTAATATACATAAAAAAGATCAGTAACTTCCATGGTAGGCCAATGATTTCTATATAGCAGGCCAGAAAAAGTTCAACATACATAGTAATTTCTAGAATAGGCCAGGAACGTTGATAGCACCCCAGTCATTCATATGACATGCCAGTAATTTATATACAAACAGGCCAGTGCTGTCTAGAACAGGCCAGCGATTTGTGCAGCAACCCGACCTGTGAAGGTGCAGCGAGTCCGAAGGCGGCGCTGCCAGCGAGACGCTGAGCACCGTGGAGGCGACGGCCTCCCCGGCGCGGTTGCGCGCGTGGCACGAGTAGGTGCCCGCGTCCGTGGTGCGCGCCGCGCTCACGGTGAGCGAGTGCACGCCGTCGCGGAACTCGGCGGCGAAGCGGTGGCCGTCGGGCAGCGTGTCCACGTCCACGCCGTCCCGCTGCCAGGCGACCGCGGGGGGCGGCCTCCCCAAGATCCTGCAGCTGAAGGTCGCGTCGGCCCCCCTGGACACCTTCTGAGCGGACGGACGCACCACGAAGGAGGGCTCCCGTGCGGCGACGCCGCCGCCGCCGCCGCCGCCGTAGCCGCCGCGGTCGCGCAGCCGGAGCGACCCCGAGAGCCGGAACGGCGCTGACTCGTCCACGTCGAGCGTGGCGCTCGCGACCGCCTCTCCGGCGCTGTTGCGCGCGCGGCACGTGTACTCGCCGGCGTCGTCGCCCCGAGCCTCGTACACCGTCAGGCTGTGCGCGCCGCGCTCCTCCGCCGACAGCTTGCGCCGCGCGTCCGGGCGCACGGGCCGGCGGTCCTTCTCCCACGCCACGTCGGGGCTGGGCTCCCCCGCGACCCAGCAGCTCAGCGTGACGTCCCTGCCGGCGGCCACGGACGCGGACTTGGGTCGCGACACGAAGCGGGGAGCTTCGCCGCCCCTGCGGTTGAACATCTCGCGGCGAGGCGGAGAGCGGGAAGGAGACTGCTCGGCCTGGAATGGGAAAAGGCAGAGAGAGGGGGAGAGGGTGAGAGAGACCGCTTGGCAGCGCTCGAATGGAGCTCGAGCATGAATGGGCGCGTGGGCGGGCGGGCGAGATGGTGGACAGACAGGTGTCGGCGTTCTTTCCGTTTTGTCCCCGTGTAAGGGACATGCGGCGATGGAGTTAGGTTTGTTTAGGAGAAGCGCACGAGCGTGGCGACAGCGATCCCAGAGCGGTTTCCACCACCCGCTGGCAAGCTCCCAGTGTGGTCAGTTTTACTGTAAAGGGCAGGCAATGCTTCATGACATTTTTCAAATATCGTGGCATTTTACGAGTAAAATTTGAGACCTATGATTAAACTGTTTCATTGTACTACTCCTGCGTGAAGGATCAATTCCAGAACATGACAGCATAGCTCGTTATTTAATACATATCCTTTGGAACAAATCACCCGGAGTGAGCCCGATGTCATTGGATCACTGAAGCTAATCAGGTCTGAACCTGCCTAGTACTTGGATGGGTGACCACCAAGGCTTGCCTGGTGTTGTGGGTGTGGGGCTGCCAGATTTTCAGGAGGTGGCAGTGCTGAGTGTGACCCCCCATCCCATGCCTGGCATTTCTCGAGGTCTCCCCCAGTTTTCTCCCAGACACTGGTAATCGGCAATGGCCGAACATCCCGAATGCACGACTGTCCTGCAAATAGTTTCTGAGACTTTTCCGGATTACAAAACTTTCCATTTTTAAATATCGATGATCTCTCCCCTTTGGTCGTGGAAAGTGTTCTCTAATTGCTGTTGTCGTGTTTGTGCGGCTGTTCTGGATGAGAGCACAGCGGTGTAATTGCTATAAGAGTCTATGCGGAGTGAGTGGCACAGCGAGCGCGCGTGTGTGTGTACGAGTGCACGTGTACACTGCCAGGTTTATTTTTAAACGCTGCCAAGCCTGGCACGCGTTGAGTGGAATGCAATTCCCATTGTGCCCAATGTGTTACGTGAATTTCTTTGGCCATTGGCATGACAACAACAATAATAATATTAAAGCTCGCTGTGTTCGTGCGTTTCAATTGAAACTTAAACGAACTTTATAAGAGGGAGCAGCAACCACCACTACCGTCCCCATCAACACGACATAGCAGCACACATTGCATTGAACTCACGCATTTACCACATGAAGTAACCTACGATAACATTGTATTTATGATTTGTGCAGCCCCTGCCTTTTAGAATATGAGTTCTTTATTTGGAAGTTATAATAATTGACGGCCCTTTTTCAATCCACTGCTGGATGGAGACTTTCCCAGACTGTCAGTCATGGTTTTTTTTACCATACTTCACCACGCCGGTTAGTGCTATTTGGAGCGTAGGAGGGGCCGTGAGTCATTGTTGTCATCTGTAAATATTGACACATTTGTTTTCTCTGGATCCGATCATCGCCCATAAATTTCACGTAAACATAACAACATTCATGCACGCACGACCCTACGCATGCATATTTCATAATCCTAACAATCCACACCCGGGGCGATGAATCGTCACCATCACAATCATCATCACCACGTGCTCATACATTACAATAAGATTTCAAAAGTCTTGCGAGGATGATCTGGCAGCAGGCGAATGGCCCTGCGGCGTAGCGGGACTGTAACCTTGGCGAGCGGCAGCTGTCGCCCCACTTCAGCGCAATCTTCACCCGGGGCCGTCACGCCGCTATAAATACTGCGGGGCCCGGGACGGGAGACAGCTCAACCAGGCCAGAGCCTCCGGGGGGGTGGAGGGGGGAATGCGCTCCACCACGCACTTACATTGTGTACGGGTACAGCCACACACACAGAACTTTGGTTTAACACGTAGGCTTTCGCGACCAATATCATCCACAACAGAGGTTTTTTTTTTAGTGGTTACCACATCTACGCCTCTATGTAAGGAACTAAACAGGTGGACTTCTCCACAAATCTGGCTGTCGCCTGATGATGCTAGTTGTAATCATTGGCGAAACGTCGTACTCAGATTGTAAATGTTGTGGCTTGGCGCTCCAACACACCGGTGTGCTGTACTAGTGACGAATTGGCACGTTCTGTTTACGTGACAAACCTTAGCAATTGGCTGTGTCGGGTGGTGGCGGGTTGAACGACACATTTCTATTTACGCGATCTAAACCCAACCCCCCCCCCCCCTGCATTATACACGTCACTATCTCTGTGAATACCGAAAACGAGCAGCCGACACAAACCCAACAAGCGACGCGTTGCAATGGGGAAGGATGGAGCAAGAGCAGTGTGGAGACGAGCTCACTAGCCAAGCCTCACAGTCGCCTGAGTGCTGACACTTACCAACTAGTTAGTCGGCAACCAGCCACTGGAAAGAGCCCTTCAACTGGCCCCAGCCCTAACGACCGAAGAGTCAATCACCCATTGGCCATGACTAACTAGCCAACTGGCTTCAGCTAACATTTAAACTGGCCCTAATCCTAACGAGCTAACCAACCAGCCATAATCGCAAACCCATAAAAACTAGAAATCCAGTCCCGACTAGTAGTCCTGCAACTTGCCCCAACCCTAACAACTGACCATAGCCCGAGCCAAGCAGCCGACCAGCCACTAGTAGCAGTGTTATCTCTAACGCTCACCACTGAGTCAACAAGTCACGATTACTAGCCCTTCCACTGGCACCGACCCTACCTCTAATCGCACCTCCAGCACCTCGCAAGGTTCCTTTTTATTGTTTAGCCGCCTTTCAGTGTTGCCGTAAACACCGAGATGTGCGCACGAACTGTGGTTGGAACCGCTGTGCCCCCCCACCCACCCAACTCACACTCGATTCTGAGATTCAGAGATTCTGTTCCTCCCGCCTTGGTGAACCGTGGGGGCCCTCGAAGCGTCCCCCTCCTCACGGGCGGGCGTGGGTGATTGCTCGTTTATCGGAGACGGTGCTGGAAAAATTCCGTGTTCCGCTCTTCACAACACACGAGCCACGTGACCAACACCCTATAGGTCGTAGACACTTTATCAGGCGCTGCAAATTGATATTTGGAGATCATCTCACTCACCCGCCAGGGGATACATATTAGAGTGAACTTTGGATGGGATTTGAACGTATGGTCTTACGAGTAAGGGGGGCTGTTCTTCTAATCAATGAACATTGTCAGCCTTCGCTAATAATAGTCAAAGTCAAAAGGTCAAAGCGTCTCACTGCTGAAACAATTGTGGGTGGTACACGTGTCTTATTGGCAGCGCTGGGTAAGTTGTGGAAATTTCACATTCTTATTGGGGAGGGCGGGCGCAGTTTATCCACTGGACGACGAAAAGTGGTCCTTATTTTATGGAACCCGGCGAGATGATAGGCCGAGTCTCACGTTAACCGCGAATGATGTTTAAGTGAGACTTTGGAATCGATTCAAGTCCTCAGACGCGAAGGCACCCGGTGCTTCATGGACTTCAGGCAACTGTTGTGTCACACTCCAGGGAGGTGTTGATGGGGAACACATGGTCGTGTTTATCACAAGGCTTAGCGCACTTTACGACGAACCTGCCCTATTATTAACACCAATGAACCTCCAGGCCGTACATTTGGGGTCCGAAATAAAATAAAGTTTTTTCATTGTGAGCATTGTCTCGACTATTCGCCACATCTAATATTTGTAAAGCTCTTGTTGAACATCTTTAGAATCCACGGCCGTTACTCAGTCACTCGTCAATATCATACTTGTACACGCATCGTGTGATCCACTGCTGGATGAGGGCTTACCCACACCGGCACAGTTCAGTACAACTGACTTCGCTGCACTGCCCTCTGTTGACAACGTAGCCCACCACAAGAGCCGACACCACCTGCTTTGACATGAACGCTGGTCGCCCGTCCAAGTCCTCTTCAGGCTCAACTTTGCTTAACTTCCCGGATTCCCGGTGAAGTTATCATGATTAGTTCTATAAATAGGCAGTAGCTGTGATATCCCACTCTGTAATTGTGTAATCTGTAAATAGAGTGCGCTCTCAATTCATAACTCAATGACTGTACACGAGCGATTCTATGAAAACGGATCGCGTTGGACACGCGCGTTTGGTTTAATATTTCAGCCGGAGCTGTCCGGGGCTGAGTTCCGGAAAAATAATTCATTGGACCTACGCTGCGGTGGATGAGTGGAGGGGGGGCGGAAAATATTCCATGAGAATTTAAAGCTCTGCTCAAAAGCTCTCGTACGCTGTGCAAATAGTGCACGCTCGACTTTCATGAGACGCAGTGGCAACACAATGGATATGGCTATCGGTGTCGTTCTCGAGATGTGCTCGCTGTGAAATATCAACTTCACACTCTACGATTCTCTAATTCGCAGGGCAGCAGCTGCGTGGAACGTGCTCGATGTTACGAGATACGAGGCGCTCGCGAGTCGAGGCTGTGGCAAGGGAGTGAGCCAATGACGCACGAGGGGTCGCGGACCCCAATTCACTGCTGGGGGTGGAGGAGGAGTGGGCTGTCGTGTATCGAAGAGTTAGCGGCCCAGCCCTGCAATTCATTCGCAGGACCTCCAGCCAGAGACAGCTCTACAGAAGCCCTCTGGAGGATATTTTGTCCACACTGGCCAGGCGTCATGGGCTGTGAGATATGATACCCTTGATATCAAAATAGAAATAAGGCATCGTACATTTCATGATTCAAATGACAACGAATCACTTGGTGAGACTGCGCTGGCAGTAGTGCACAAGTATAAATAACAAAAAACTCAACACCGACAAAAATACTGCGGGCTTGAAAGCAGAAATATGATGTTATCATGACGATCAGCCGAATCTGTGGGGATGGAGTGATTCGTAAATTGGATATTCCTTTCGTCTACAAATAAGAAGCATTTACTGAGCAAATCAATGCGCTAATGTGACGTCATGCTAGTCGGACAGGAAAGCAACGCAGAACACATGAGAAAATCAACATTAGCGCGACAGCACAAACGAGGCTAAATCGATTCTAAAATCGAAGTGTCCTGAACCCAAACAATTTCATTGAACTCCCCGGGTCGCGAGGCCACAATCCGACGGTGGTCGGCCCACAACGACCGGGCGACAAAGCCACAGGATACAAATGCCACAAACACCTCTCGAAAAATATGAATTCATTCAATTTGACTTCCACGCAGCAATCGTGTCACGGTGTCAGGGTGATCGATCGGCTGTGTGCGCGGGGTTAGTTACCAACAAGAGGAGGAAAGCTGAGGGCAACAGGTGACCCTGCAGTGCTGTCGAGTACCTTTCCGGACAAGTCGCGAAAACCCCTTCCTCGTGTGTCCGTGCTCGGCTCGGGCGCTCACTGCGCTGTCAACTCGGTAGTTTGCAGATACCACTCAAATCTGACGAATGTAACCACTCCAAAAAACAGGTCTTCCAAACTCCGTGCGGAAGGCGCAGCCCTTGGGAACCAAACCGAGGACGGGAAGGCAAATCAGGGAAATCTGAAAGGCGAAAGCGAGAGAAACCCCCCTATCCCCGCATGAAGGAGCTGTAAGAGTGGATGGGTGCCGTGCCCCGCAGCCCGGAGTCACTGGATGCGAGCGTGGTCCGAGGGTGCCGAGTCAGCTCGCACGGCCGCCCGCCCCTAAGACCCCGCCTCTCTCGTCGTCCACATGTCTCTTGATAAATTTAGCCACACTTTTCCCAGATACACGCGTGCACGCCAACCAGCCAGGCCCACGAACCACTGTGAAGAACCCCCCCTCCCCATTACACTTTGTAACACAATTTTTGTTCCTGGGTAGTGTTATTTCGTAATTGCTTGTGCCTAAAAATATAGAAAATGGCTATTAGTCCCCACAAACTTTGCTTTTGTGACCAGGACAGTAATATTTTGAAATTTACATATTTTCAATGAGAAAACGGGCGAATGTGTCTTTTCATTCACATAAAGTCCGAAAAAAACATATGAATCAAAATTAACATGAATTTATACTAAAGTAATAAAAAAATTACTTCAAAAGATTTAGACGTTTTATTATATTGTAAATCATTTTCAAGAATCAGCCCCCAAATGTAGTCTCCCATCATGTTCTCGTTATACTGTCCTTGGTAGCGGTGTTCAATCCAGTATATCCTGGTGGAAGCGCTCACTTTGCTCCTCCGAGTACGCTCCCATGTTCTCCTTGAATTTAGTACGCTCCCATGTTCTCCTTGAATTGATCAATATGCGCATCAAGGATATGGACTTTTGAGAGACATCCTACAGCCCATTGTGCCGTAGTTCTTCACCAGTGTCAACCAGCTCCACATAGTTTTCGACCTTGTGATTGCACAGGAAGGCACGAACCAGTGCGACAAAGATGTTCCAAGCCGCTTTCTCCTTACTGAGCTCTTGGGGAATGCATTGCATTCCAGGATCTTCTTTGTGGTCCGATGAAGACACCGGCTTTGACCTTTGCCTCAAGACAGCTTAGGGAAGTCTTGAAGATACTTGAAGACTGCCGACTCCTTATCTACAGCTCTGACAAATTGTTTCATAAGGCCCAATTCGATGTGGAGTGGTGGCATCAGCACATTGCTGGGGGTCCACCAGTGGCTCCCACTTGACGTTGTTCCTCCCCAGAGAACTCGGTCCGCTGTGGCCAGTCCCGCCTGTGGTAGTGCGCCTTGGTTGTAGTCATTTTTTTGGTATTACTTTAGTATATACATGACAATTTTGATTAATGGATTTTTTTGTCTGACTTTGTGAACGAAAATACACAAATTCGCCCGTTTTGTCATTGAATAAAGGTACATTTCAAAATATCACTTTCCTGTCACAAAAGCAAAGTTTGTGGGAATAGCTATTTTCTGTACTTTTGAGGCATAAGCAATTAGGAAATGACACAATCCAGTGTTGTTAGAGAGCGGTGGTGCAGCTCCAGATTCCCCGTGGGAATTGGGCAACACCCGCAAAGCCGCCAGGGCAATCTATGCCTTGGCCATTTCCTGTTATAGGTAGTCAGTTTGAACGTGGCGATAACAAGTCAAAAACTGACAAACCAAATACTGTTCGCAGGTAAACAGGAACACGAGTGATGTAATTGGAAAGGCATTGCGCAAGATTTTTAATAAGTATTTAAAAGTGGGATCCAAATAATGTATCGCGTATTGGAACAAGCGTCTATTTCATTTGTAATTGTCCAGCCAATCGGCACGCTCTGGACCCTCAAAAATGCTAAAACTAAAAAGGTTATCTTACCGAAGGCATTCCCAAGAAAGTATGCAAAAATACATTACTTTTGTAAGTGGATGTCCTGAAACAGCTATGGCTGTAAAGTTTGGCCATACATGTTATGTATATCGTTTATTGCTAAATTTGAATCAGTTCCTATGATCACTGTTACATTGTTTTTATAGCTTTATTTTCATTTCAAAAACGTTTTAGTCATTTGTTTGTTGTAGTACAGTTAAGAGTGATAACTTTAATCTAAATTCTTATGGTTGTTTGATTTGCATCCCACTGGGATTTTTGCACACAGCATTGATATACGGTGCTTTTTCTGGATGACTTTGCTGTTTTCCTGGATTTTTCTGTTGCGCGTAGTCACTTTAAGATGCTCCTTGTTCGTGTTTGTTGCGGTTGCACCCGAGTCAAAAGCCGAATGGCTCACAGGGCTATACCTAATGAACTGAACCGCATGAAGTTTTTTCGGTATAGGTCGCATTCACTCTTACACCGAGGTTCAAGTTGGCATAATTCCATGACGAGACGTCGTGGTTGTGTATGGCTGATTAGAATGTATATGGTTATATTGCTGCTGTGATTGTAATGTAATGGTTGCAGTTAATACCATAATGGTTACTTGCCTGTTTAGGTTATAAAATACCGTAGTTTCAGTTGTGGATGTGCCCATTCTGGTTATCGTTATACTCGTGATTATGCAGTTGTGTAATTTTTTATGGCTTTTGGGGGGGTTATAGTTATTAAACCATGGTTACATTGTGATCATAGTTGTGATGAGGGTCTTCAGTTTGTAAACAAATATTTATTTACATATACGTGATATTGATATTAACGTTTAGTGTCATATTGGTGTTGGCAGACAGAAAGCTCATTATCACGGTGACTGAAAGCAGGCCAGCGAGTACCACTGGGAAATGACTAGCAAGAAATAGCTTGCCAATCACTTGTTACATATCATGCAAATCCGCATGCAATGCTAGCTTATTGCACAAAAGTAAAAAAACACTTTCACAACGGTGATTTTATTCAGTAACTCCAACAATTTTTGGGTGATTTTTTTTCAACATCGATTAACAAAGCACTACACAAAGATTTAAACACATACATTTAACAATGTGGCATTATATTTCTGGGAAGGCATGCATGCATGCTCACCTTAAAATGGTACCAAATTTGTTCCATGTAAATAACGAGCCTTAAAAGAAAAAGTAAATAATTACCCTTTTTCAGCACATGGAAAGCCCAGAGGTCGTGGAAGTCCTGATGAACAATTTTCGCACAATCCACTGAGTGAATTCCTGAGCTCATTCCAACCGCATTAGAACTTTAATTTCCTGGGCTTAATTATCATTTCAATTAATAATTAGAATACACTTCCTTATACATGACTGTTCCCATTTAAAGATTGAAGCGTTCAAAGGAATGTAGGGATCAAAGAAACCTGCATATGTAACTATGGAAAAACTGTTCATACATCCCAACTTTAATTCTTATCAGGATCCGAGGTATACAAGGCACTGTCTCTCACATCCATTCTGTGCTAAGGGCCATTGCCCGAAACATCCCGTATTACAGTATATACTATGTTAAGGAAGTTATTGACGTTTTGATATTTGTGCACCAACAGAATGCAGTAAAAGCAAATATTTTGTGCAGTAATTTTCATGCACATTTTTTAAAAAAATTCACAAGCCCATGTAAGTACATGTAATATGGGCTTTGAGAAAACTATACTCCAAGCATAACACATCAGAGGTTGCAAACGGGTTTTGATTCCTTACGCGTTACCGGCCGCACCAAGGTCAAAAACGGGTACAGGTACCCGATTGCGACCTCTGGGATGAAGCCATGTTGCAGGTGCGGGTGGGTTGATTCTAGGAACTTGAATTGTGAGAAGAGACAAGACGTTGGGAAATGAGTGACAAACGGTTACTCACCAGTGACTCACGGCCTACCCGTACCCGGCTGCACCAGGGTCGCAAACGGGTAACCGGCTACCCGTACCCAGCTGGGTACCCAGCTGGGTACGGGTAGCCGGGTATCGGGTATCCGGTTGCGACCTCTGTAACACATTCCTGCGGAGGGAGCTGATAGGAACGTTGGGTTGCTCAGTCAATGGCCAGGGTCAACGGCGGCTTGGTGTATTCCACATATATTGCCGACTGTGAGGGCGGGCACAAGCCGGCGTGTGTAGGTTAAACGTTGAGTTTTATAAGGGCACCACAGGGTGACCAGCCCCTCCCCACCCAGCCCCACCCCACCCTGTCCCTCCCTACACGACGTACGGGCACAATAATCCCGTGGGCTGGTGTAACCAGAAGGTTCCTACCAGTATAACCATGCTTTTAACTCATTCCCAAATATTGAATGCAGTGTCTGCTTTAAAACTTGGAACATAATTATACGAATTAAAACAATTCTGAAACCATCCTTCAACTCCATCAATGAAGTGTAAGTGCATACGATAATTTCTAGAGATGATCATAATTATGATTACATCTGTCGATTTCGATGAAAAATAGTTACAGTATGGAACGATGTAGTCATGAACAGATTGGTTCACTTATGGTGTAACACACTTCATTTTTTCTCGTATTTAAATCTCTACATAATTATAAACCTAAAATTTACGCACATGTGAGTATGCAATTAAAGACTAGCAGTGATATCAGATGAGTCGTGTTAGGTGAATTTTTAAGAATGACCAACAAAGGGATGGAGCCAGTGGCACAGAAACCATTCAGGGGAGAATAGTTAAGTGGACTGAGCCGATGGAAGTTAACCCAATCTGTAGGACATGCTTGTCCTTTAGTCCAAGAACAGCCCCACACATGATGCGGCCCACAACCTGATTTCAAAATAATACAATGGAAGGGTGTCATTGGGATAGGGAACGTCAGGTAAGCCTTTACATTTAAACACAATTCATATTGTGATGAATGTTTGATGGTCAGTTGGAGTATGTTTATATACGAGGCACGTGTGGTTTTTTGATGCAAGGTGTCACAATAAGGTAAGGTTGGGTAGCATTTCCATAATCCCTTCCTCACAAGTATGCAATTATAAGTGACACTTAGAGCAGAGTGAACTGCAAAACACACCACAGGGATGTGCGTAATTTCCTTATAGACATGAACAACTGCATCACGGATCCAACCAGAGTCTGCCCACCTGCAAAGAACACATACCCGAGTCATGCTTTCATATTTAATTGAATGCATTTTTACGTAATCATGTAATACAGTGCATGCATGGATGAAACATCAATATAAATGACTCATGAAACATGTTTCACACGCAATATTCTGAGCTGCTTTACCTTATAAAAAAATATCACTACCCATATGCTGTTATATACTTCTAAACTGAAAACGACTTTTTTTGATGTGTTTAATTTTTCCTTCTCCCGCACCTCCGAGGACGGTTTTCTACATACAGCGTGAAAGCAGTTCAACATACATGTAATAAAACAAATCTCTGCCTACCTTCACCACATATGTCGCTGGCCTCCTGCCGCCAAAGCTTGACCAAGCGAACAGCCTTCAAGTGATTGGCAAGATCTAGCATGATGCTGTCCGGCACCGATACACCACACAAGCTCTCCATCTTCCCAAAAAGGATTTTCAACTGAGGATCAAAACACAATAAGTGATATTCTGATCTAAAATTTTATTAAAATGGAAAACTAAGTAACAAAACACAATTAAATATTAACATATTCAATATGCTCCATGTTTGAAAATACGCAATTTAAAACGACGTAATATAACATTCAAAAAAGATGTTATCTAAATCTCATCAATGTTGCAAAAAATTATGCCAGCAGCAGTGAACTTCATCTATGAGCAACGTGTTAGAAGCCAACCATGATGGATATGAAATGTTAAAAGTTGTATCTGATACTGTTGCTTTATTCTGGGTTGCCTGAAATGGGGTGGCCATTAACGTGTATACAACCTGAATTACGTTTAGTGCCTGGGGGTTAGAGCAATCATTCACGAATAGTTTGCAGCTCTCCCTTATTGGGGTATATTTGATTTTAAAAAATCTAGGCATACACGTAAAACCAGGTCGAATATGTAAAATGTTTTGTATATCATACATTACAAAATAAGTTAGTCATATTCTTTTGTATTTTTTGTCTTATAATTTTTTTAAAGCAATCAAGTCTTTATTCGCACGAATTAGCACATGTCACAATATGGAATAAGATAAGGTGAGATTTTAAAAAAATGCCCCTTACTCTCAAATTCTCTTTCAGTTGATAAAAAATCAGATTATTGATGTGTGTATGATTGGCATCCAGCCAATGCACAGGACTGCTGCTTTCAACACTGGAAACATACAAACCCGAGTAGTTTTTCAATAACTTGGTTTCAACCTGTGAATAAAAACACAATTTGCATAACAGCTGTTAAGAATTAAATAAATATTACAAAATAAAAACTGGAAAGTAAAGTTCCTTATAAGTGTGTTAAAACGTATACATTTTGAAAACAGAATGATTCGTAAAAATGTATTACCATATTCATTTCGCTTGTCAGAGCTTTTGCGTTCATCAAACACTTTTCTATGCTGATGCACAGCTCATTGCTTGGTCTATCAAAACTTTGTTGCAGCATCCAACAAGCATTTTGTACTTGAAGAGAATGAGCCTGTTTAGCTCTAATTTTTTCATATGTGTCATGTTGACAAAAAGGATTTTGTTCAGGAAGGAATGAACCAAGTGGTAGAGAATTCCTCCTGATTGGAGATATATTTTCACTAGAATTCCTCTGTTTTAACTCAAGCGAAGGATGCAGGTACGATGATGAAGTTGGTTGACTATTGAAGTCTTGCAAGTTCGAAGTGTCACTGTGATGAGGGATTTGTTGACTGTTTGGTTCAGAAGTACATGATACATATTGACTTGAATTCCTCTGTTTTAACTCAAGCGAAGAATACAGGTACGAAGACGAAGTTGGTTGACTATTGAAGTCTTGCAAGTTTGAAGTGTCACTTTGATAATGAGGGATTTGTTGACTGTTTGGTTCAGAAGTATAAGAATTCCGATTCCAATTGCTTGTTTGAAAATACTCAGGTGACGCATTCAGTTTTCTTTTAATGCCACCCAAATCATGATGCTGACTTCTGATAAAGGGGGATGAGTGTTCATCTCTTTTATTTGACCAATCAATGTTTGGTTCATTCATCACATTTTCCAAGGCTGGTCCATTTGTACAATGTCCATAAAATAAACCATTCGTGGCAACAAATGGAATTTGTTCCCCAAGCAATGTACGGCTTTCGAGGTCCAATAATTGTTGTTGATGTTCCTTTTTAAGTTCAAGGTTATGACTGCTGTTAGAGATTGGTAGTGTGTCTGATACACGGGTTCCAATAGGAGAGTTTACTGTGTTTGGTATACGATAGCTGCTCAGTGATGTATCGTTTTCTACACAGCTGAAAGATGACTTTATGTTTTTCTCAAACTTTGTTTGAGGTCTTAAACCCATGGCCGCATGAACTCTGGAATAATTTATGTCATTAGTGTCCAATCTTTGTTCCCAACTCCCACTGTTATTTGTGGAATGCGAGTACGTGTCAAACTTGCCATTGTTTGCATGGAAATTATTCACGGGAGATTCCACTATCCGTGATTGAAATAATGAACTGTCACGTGATGGCTCCATAATTTGATTTGTAAAAATAATGCCTTCATTCCTTAAAGATAAGGGAAAATTCGACTGGAATCTTACACCTAAATTATTCAACTTCTTCTCACTTGTCTTTTCTGGAGTCATTAAGTTGTCGCAAACTTTCCTTCCTAAAGGATCCACAGCGTCTCTGATATTTAAGGCATTCCAAAGCATAGTTAAATCATAGGTTGGTGTAATTCTGTAAGAAATATAAAGCACATATCATAAGTTAAAGTATGCAAAATGAACCATAATTACTGAATGATCCAAATTTACATTTTATTGCGTTTTGTGGAATTAAACATCTAGCACTATTATGGAATAATTTTTCATTAACCTTTATTAATGTTGCCACATTCCACAAGCAATACTTCACTCGTCACACGTAGCCATGACCAATAAACTATAAATCCTGTGTAGTCCAACAATGCTGTATTTTCCACATACAAATGTATCAATAATAACATTCTGAATATCATCATAACCGTAACCTTATGGAGTATGCGTGTAGTATATCGGACCTGCTTGTGGAGGTATCAAGCGATGGTTCTTCGTAGTCATTTACTAAATTGGAGACCATGCCAAACATGTCAGGGCTTTCCTGGGCAATGTCAAAGCCACTGAAAGACATCTGCTCACTGAAAAATGAAACGAGGCATCAATTCAACTTAAAAATCCCAACACATGTTGTGCCCTACATATTTTACGTTCACTTGCGGTAAGGAATACACATGGTTTAAAAACAATTGATGAGCTCGAATACAGCATGAAAGCAGCTGAAGATGTACAAGACTAACATCATCACCTGTCTGAAGGCGATGGACGTGCGTTTGTTGCATTGGGCTCGTCCGTAACCGATGACCAGGGGTGATACTGCAATGACGGATTCATATTGGACAGGTCTGAGAAATCGCTCTAAAGAAAACGGGAATTAAAAAACAACTTTTATTATTACAAGGCGAGGGGCCATTTGAATACGTATTTTAATGGCGAGTCTCACGACGCTTTCGCGAGTGTCTTTCAAAGTCTTCGCAATAGGGGGCGATGATTGCCAACGTGGATTCGGAATTTAAAAAAATGCGAATTTGGCAAATCTGCACCGTGACGCGGGCACTCAATGGAGTCTCAAGAACCCCAATCCAACAGTGGATTTGGCGGCGCAATGGCTGTACATGTCAATGGGTTCCATAACCTTCATACAATTATACATAGGCGGAGTTTTATACTGTACTTATATATTTGGCAGGTGTTTACTTTGTTCGTTAAGATTTAGGAATCGTGTGCGCGTATAATTAATGTTTAATATTAATTGTAAACTACAAAAAATGGTGCCCAGCAAACCCTTAATATTCGCGGATTTCTTATATAATCGTGTTTTTATTTTATATATTGGCGGCCACCCCCTAACACGGGTTGGCGAGCGCGCCAACGTTGCCCGCCACGTGTTCGCCCTCCCTCTTGAAAGCATATCGATTGCATCGTGTCGCTAAGTTATAGGGCGTGCAAAACAAACGTGCAATACGGGTGTACAAACATACGCGTAAGCGTCAAAATAAAATGATTACGCTGTTTAAATATTAAAAAGACAATTATTATAATCTCGCATGATGGTGTGAGCTGGCGGCGACTTAAGAGGGAGGCTTGCATCTAGCAGTGGAGCGACCATGGCTAGCTGATTAAACACTTTAAACACGCAATGTGCACTCGCAAACATTGCTCAAAAGGTTTCGACAACTGCGGGCGATGACATAAATGTTGCAACAACGTTGGAGTTATGCGATATGTATAAAAATAGTGTACTATCTGGTTTGTTGATTCTAGATTTGAAGTTTTCGTGACTGCAAGGAATAATACTCTTAGGTTTTTTAGGTAAAGTCACGTAGGTACAAGATAATAATGAAATAAAATAATAAAAATAACTACATTGAATCGCTATTTAATCATTTTCATTTATTATTTTATTTCACACAAAATAATAATAAATACAAATATCTACATTAAATCACTATTTAGTTATTTTAATTTATTTATTTGATTTTGCAACTACAAAGAATGGTCCGAGATGGGTCAATCCACTGCTGGATGGAGGCCCAATCCAACTTCACATCCCGAAAGACCCAGCGATTGAATACTTTACTACGTTTTAGTTAACCTGTTATAACAATTCGTCTATCAAATTAAAAAAACTTTCGTCGTAACAGGAATTAGTAATTGTTTAAAAAATGTTAAAGTGCATGGGACCTAGATCTTGCCGTTCTAATTGCTTAAAATAAACTATTTTTTAAGTGTTATCAGGTAAGGCACACTGCGCTGTATAGATGTATATTTTATAAGCCACATCGTCACAATTAATAGCTTAACGAAGTGCCTTTACCAGGTGGAAACGTCGAGCAGCCAATTGCTTTAAACGTGTTGATACATTCGTTGAAATACTGCGATTAAAATCAAACTTTCCCCCTCAAGTAAGCTGCGTTTATTCAACTAAATTAGTTTAAATTATAAAAACAATTGCACACTCGAGGGGAATCAGCTAGTGTTATGCTACTAAATGACAAAACTAAATGTCAAATTTTAACTTTTCTCCGCCACACGCCACGCCGTGTCCGCCGCCATTTGACGTCGGTTCGATAAACGACTGCAAAAGTGTGACTCGTAAAACTTCTTAATTTCACTGTCCACATGGCATTACATCTCACAAATACGGTCACTATAACGCAATGGGAGTTACGATTTAAAAAATTCTGTAAGACAATGCAAAATTAGAAATATCAATGTTTAAGATCATGCATACACGATTATCATAAAACACAGCTTTTAACATAAATACGTTTTTACATGTGTAATGCTGTGCAAATACTACACTAACTATATACACAAAAAGTATGTTACTTTAAGAAACAATTTACCTCAGAGAACCCGAAATTGACGCCTGAATTTCGCTCCATGGCGCCCGCGTTCTGCCGCCAGCGCGCGAAATGAGGAGGGGGGGGGCACCCCGGGGGACCCCCCCCCCCCCGGGCACCCCCCACCCCCCCGGGCACACCCACCCCCCGGGCACCCCCCCGCCCTCCCCGGGAACCCCCCCAACTCTCCGGGCACCCCCCCCCCCCTGGACACCCCCCCCCCGGGCACTCCCCCAACTCTTCGGGCACCCCCCCCCCCCCCTGGACACCCCCCCCCCGGAGGACCCCCCCTCCCAGGCACTCCCCCCCCCCCCGGGCACCCCCCCCACCCCACCGGGGCCCGCACCCCCCGGGGGGAGCTGGAGTAGCGCTCCCCCTGCAGGCCGCGCAGGGAGGGCGCCAAAGACCCGGCCCGGATCGCCGGATCGGAATAAAAAAACAAAACCCGGAGCGGATCCAGGACATCTGTGGGGGGGGGGGGGGGCGAGACGTCAACTCCGACGGCCCGGCACGCAGCAGCAGCAGGAGGTCGTGGGCTCCATCCCGACCCTGACGGCTGCTGCTGCTGCATATTTGGAGTTTGCGGCGTCTCTCTCCAGGTCCTCCAAAACACGCGCTTAGAGTGTTTGGTGGCTTTAAATGTCCACGTGATAATGATAATTTGTGATAGCCAGGTTGTTTCTGACAAAGAAGCTAATGGCTCAGTAAACCTTACCTGGTAAAATACAAAAAAGAGTTCATTAGTTTGATAATCTTAAATCATCGTAAACTACCTTCAATCTTTATTGGCAAACTTAAATCTAAGACGTCCAAACCTTATGTTGCCGTTGCAGCACCGATGTTTTGGAGAATAATTTTTTTTATTCTTGGGTCTTTCGGTAAAGTCACGTAGATATGTTCAAAGAAAATAAATAAAATCGCAACACAAACGTTCGTCAGACTGCCTCAGCAGCTTCCCTGATGACGGCCGCTTGTGTTGCGATTTTTTGTATTTTCTTTGAACATATCTACGTGACTTTACCGAAAGACCCTAAGAATATGAATTCCTGCAGTCACGAAAGCTTTAAGTAAAAAAATAACATTTTTTCCTCAACTTAGTATTAAAGTCTCCCTTTAAAAATATCCTCAAACAGAAGATTTGCCAAATATAGCCACACATGCCACTGCAATTTGGAGTCTTGCAGTTGTGTTGTGCTGCCTGCCCAAGCTTCCATTTGGTCTTAACAAATGTGCAGGAATGTATGTACTAGTGCAATGCTTACTCCTATACTTCAACTTTTCTCAATATTACTCGCGTAACCGTGATAGTATTTGCGTTGCTGTAACCTGCTGACCCCGTGCCCCGACAGGACATCTGTTAAAAAGAGCTTTATAGCTCATCGGATTCCTCCAATAGGATTCAAATGTTGATTCTGGATGGTCTCGCGTGCGAGTCGACCTAGGGGAGGCCCAGGACCGGTTCAGATAATCGTCGCCACTGGTGTTGGTGATCCGTGAGCAGGGATCGAACCCGGGTGGCCGGGTTCGTAGCACAGCGCGCTAATCGCTGCACCACCGCTCCCCCGCAGAGACTCAAAAGGACACAAGAAAAATATCCCCCGTGTAGCCTGAACAGACATTTTGGGCAAGAGCTGTAAGCGAGTAGCACCTATGAAAGCCAGCACGGCTCATGAGGGGGTATGTGGCCAGCACCAGTGGCGATGTCTACACACTGCACCATGTACTCATTTTGGGCTGAGTCGACCTAGGGGAGGCGCAGATAATCGTGATCACAGTGTTTAACCTAACATTCATGACTTAAGTATGACGTTTTTATCCTAGCATTTAGTGATACAATGTTTACCGAGCATTTACTTAGTGATGCAATGTAGATTTTGTTAAAACCAAATACTGTACACCAACAATCCTGAAATAAAATGACATCAACCCAGTAAACATGCCAACGTTGAGTCAACGTTGGAATCTGGTTGGAATTGTTGGACCAACGTTGGCCCAAATGTTTGCCATACGTTCCATATTTACTGGGAAGGTTGAAAAGCCATAAAGTGAAGTCAAAACCAGTCCAGCGTGTGCTGCTGCAGGGAAATATTGCTCCAAAAAGTCAGGCCAATACATCTGCCATGACATTTTTTGAGCATGATAAAATAAATTGGATTTGGAAAATCAGTTCGCCCATGCTGAAATTAGCATTTCAAAAAGCTCAATCTCTATTGGTGGACCTGAGCAGCGGTGACATTTCCAAATCCATGTTAGGAAGCAGTATTATACATTACCCACTGCTGTGGAGAACAAAAATAAGATACGAAATGTCTCCTTCATGAATCTGTCTTATGACATAGTGCCTCTTCAAGTTAGGACTCGCTTGAATTAATGCTGTGTACTGTTGATCATAAATGCAAGGACCCTCTTTACAATATAGGGTCCTAGTTTGACACGAACTTATACAACACAACTTTAAATAATAATTAGAGATGTGTAGAAGACGAATGACAAACTAGATACGCAATGTTTCCTTTATATATATTCCCAGTAAACTTGCTTGCTATGCAGGGTCAACGTTGGCATGTACAGTAGTTGGAACCATATTACATAAAACTCGGAATTAAGCTAAACCAACATTTCCAAAACACATCCTGGGGTGGTGTTTGCTTCATAGCAACAGAGCTTAAAATAAGCATCTTGGAATGAGCTCCCCATATTGATGTAATTTCCCATGGCCGTGCTGAAGCCTATTTGAGACGTATCCATGGAGATTTGAGGGATAGCGATTGTTTACGGAGCGCAGTGAAAGTTTTAGGGTCCGTCTTATTCTTCACCAAATTCTTGAGACATTGTGATAAAATGCACAAACAGTAGGAATGGGACCGCGACAATGAGACATGAAGTAACAAGACACATCAACAATGGAGTAATGCAAGCGTGCAAAGAACCGAGGAGAGGTACATCCTTTTAGTTACATCAAAAATGGAAGTGGAACACATGGATAAGAGATTATATGCAAGTTTTAGACATCATATTGACTGATAAAAAAAGTATGCGTGTTTGGACAGGACACATGATTTGACGAAATGGTTGAGTGATTACAGAGGTAGCCAAAGGAGGGAAACAAAAGACAAACACAGCTGAGATGGAGTCTGTAACAATCGATATATCATGGCTGATGTACCAAAAGGCATTTTTATCATGCAAATATCTACACAAAATCATAGGAATGCATATTTTTTTGGAAATACGTTTTATTAATTGGTCCACATTACCTCAACTACAAAAATCCTATGACATGAATGTAATCATAAAAAAAACAATATAAAAGAAAATACAACACTTCCTGAAATGTTAGAAAATAGAAAATGTATAACATACAAGAATCCTCAAAAGGCCCACAAATTGTGGTGAAAAACAATTCCTAGAATGATCAATTCAGAAAATCATATTAGGCAGTAACACCAATCCTTGGAATATAATGCTGCTTGTTGTGCAGTCGTTATTCGGAATGTTCTATTGTGTATTGTGCACCATTATATGACAGTGCCAAGGCAATGAATCCACCTTGCAAGCATAAGCCCCTGTATAGATTTCAAGAAAAGCAATATTTAGCATTAAACCAAAACTGTACCAAGGCAAAGAGTGTGGTTCAAATACAGTCCATCTTAAGACATCAACATTGGCAGTGCAGACAAAACAGCTTTTGCACTCATGTGCCCTGAAATATAGGACAGCTTGGCACTACTATTACACATATGCAACAGTATCGTTAATATAAAAGCAATACAAAACTTCAGATGCAACCTCAATAAACAAACTTCTTAATCTTGTACATAAATACCAGGGCTTTGTCCTTGGTTATCCAACACAAGTTGAATGCATCTGTAATGGGTAAACAAATTATAAGGTTCTAACCAAGCACAAGAACTTTGTTCATAGTGACATCGCTGCACCGACAAATGTTATAAAAATAAGTTATGTTGCAATGACCATATCTAACAGTGTGATGCACTGCTCTAAGTTAGACAATACAATCGGGATTAAATTGGAGAAATACAAGACAATTTATAAGGCTTTTTCCCCCAATAACGAAGCATAAAACTTGTGTTGGGCAGTCTGGGACACTGTCTATGTATGCAGCTACAAGACACATTTGGTTTAGCTTAGGTTTTCCTTTAAACTAAGCATGGGCATGCATGCTTTTTTTATTCAGTTTTATAAAAAATTTTTTATAAAGTACCAACGATCAGACCTTTTCAAGTACTTGCATATTCAAAGACATCCCCAATTTACTTGACATTGTTACGATATTGTGTAATACTATTTTTTCCCAGGCACCTTTATATAATGAGCAATGCTAGAATATTGGCTAAGACGTAATCCGCTTTTAGAATTTAAAGTAGGATTTCACAACGCTTTGTAAATACCTCTATCGTATTATAAAGTTTTGCATCAATCTAGAACCTATAAAAGATAGGGACCATGACTATAAACATTTGGCAGTTCACCAATATTGGTTCAAGCAAGCCTGACTGCTGATGAAACACTGAACGTCAAAACCAGTTCAGTGTGCTTGTGTTGAACCAAAGCTGTTTAAATTCCTGGTGTGGCTGATGTGATGGGACAGATATGGGGAGGTATATTTTCTGATAATTTTTTGTTAACGTGTAAATTATGTGTTTGTTCTTTTCCTAGTGTGTTCAAACTGGAACCTGTTTGCTACAATTACCATAATTGTGTTCATGTAACCATTTAATGATAAACACATGACTCTTTTATAACGAGGGACTTAAACGTACGCCTTCGAAAGCCAGGACTGAAACTGGCAGTAGTACTGCCATTAACTTTTGGTGTTTTACAAATGCAAAACATTCCTATCTACTTAACACAACTACACGTGGGTAACTTACAGGATTGGTCAATGTTTTCTGGAGCAGGTTGCATTCTATTTTCCCACTGTTTCGTAAATGAGATGTGGTCATTTGACCAAGTGCACTTTTTCACCGCAATAGGGGTCATTAGGTAGAATCAACCGCTGAACAGGTTCACGGTTCAAATCCAGCGGCTGCCCTCAATACTGCTGATGTAATGGATATTCGTAACAAGACATGCCATCTGCTTCACAGTGGGCATTAAATGATCCTGTGAAGTAATTCACAAGAGTAGACCGATAATTACCCACAAATTTGTCAATTGGCATTACACATAGCTATCATCGCCCCCTACTGGCAGCTGAATGCCCCAGGCCACTCTTGCAAATTGTACTATCCTAGTGTATCGAGTTCTTTACCTGGTGTAACAAAATAAACTTGAATAGTGCTTAACCAAATACACAGACTTGTAAAGCACAGTGTTTGTACACACTCAGAGAGGAAGACCAAATTATTCAAGAGGCGCAGGAAACCACAGACAAGTGGGAAGGCAGCCAAAGCCGGCGGCAATATTTGGCCAAAGCTCTGTACCCCCACACGGGATGTTTGGCGAACTCGTTTAAAGAGCGTTTATACATTGGTGAGGAAACGGGAATACCCAGAGAAAACCCATGCATATGGAATAGAATCCACTTTCTGTACTTCTATACCCTGGAACGCCATGAGATGGCAACCTCACAGCCCAGTGGGTGCGTGATTCACCAACCCTCACCTCCAGTGCTGGATTACAGGCGTGCATAGGCACGTGCGACGAGCTGGCGATGCACGGCCATTTTACCACACCTCACCGATAGTGTAAACACAAAATAAAACAGGCATTTGTATTCTACAGATGAACAATTATAGACTTCAATTCCATACAACTGTGGTAATGTAGGCATACAGCCAAATAGCACGTATATGCCGTTATATTTCTTAACTGTTATCAAACAGGATGCAACTACATTCAGCATACACAATGTTTTCGGATTTACACCTTTGAAAATATGACCACAAACTCTAGAATTCCATCCATTTTCTTCATGCTGCTTCCTGGTTTTTAACATGAACATTATATCAACTTGTACAAAATTAATCATGACTTTCGCCTTGTTCACCAATAAAGTTCGGTAAATGCATCTCCAAGAGAACTTTATATCCAAACCACTTGTAAGGCCTATTTTAGCGATATCACTCAACAATTAATCCATTTTATAATGAGGCTTACAAGCTATAGGATGTTCTAGGAGGGAAATTTATATAAATAAATTCCTTTGGTGATGAAATGTTTCTCCTTATGTTTAGCTGAGGCACAACCTTATATATGCCAATATGGATATTCACATTTTCATTGACTATTTACGAGAAATAGAAATAATCTGATACAACACGGCTCGAAATTGGCAATGTTAAAATTACATAAATCCTATGTATTGAGCCAGAAACGTCTGCAGGGATTGTGCATGGGATTATTTTGGAGTGGAGAGGATGTTAGTCCTACTATTAAAGCAGGTGAAGTTTTATTATTACCATTAAATACTAAACAAATTCTACACAAAAAATGCAATAAATAAAATGTATACCATGAATATTCTAAGAGCAATTAAGTAACTATACATGTACTCACTGATAGGTTTTGTTACTGGCACTGTGCATCATTTTGAATCCTGGTAAAATAAATGAAATGTTCATATGCTCACCATTTCTACATATGGTTTTAAACAACACAAATTAAAACATCAATAGTGTTTACATTGTCACACTGGGTTAGATTCGTATCTCATTGCAGAATGTATCATTAACTAAACTGAAGAAAGTAACTATAAATATTATTTAAACTCACACTTCTCTGTTCTAACTATAAATGGTATCAAAAGGCACAAATGCCATGAGTGGATTTTATTGTTCCGCTTAAAGTAAACTCAATAATAATTAAGACGACTAATGTTTATCTTTAGAAGATGGCAATATTTGCAGGATACGAAATTTCATTAAGTCTGCCAAGCACCTTTTACTTACTCTAATGCTGTACCAATCGGCAGCATTCAGCGAAATGTACATCAACTAAATACCCAAGAGATGACATACGTTTTTTTTGGTTTCATAACAAAATTGAAACTAAACTGAAATGGGTGGATTACTCTTCGAACTAATCGTGCTTCCCTTCTCAGACCCAGCTTTTGAACTCTTCCGCCGCTCTGTGGTGATGTTTCTCGTGAGCTGTGTTTGCGCGATTCTGCTCCGTCACCACTGAGTCGGAGGCCGGAGACTCCACTCTGCTGTTCTCCTGCGCGGCCCCGACACGGGACATCAGCTCCAGCCGCTGCTGCATCACGCGCAGGTCGTCCTGCAGCCGCGAGAGATCTATCCCCGGGGCTTTATCGATCTCGATGACATTAGAAGTCTGCATCTGCGGCGGCTTGCCGTTCGCAATCCTGTTGATAAAAAAAATTAGGTAAGCTTTACGATGTATGTGGCCAAGAAAAACTTATTTCAATATAAAATGTAAATCGAATAGTAGTAATTTGAAATAATTTCTCTTTGTCAATTATACAGCACCTTTGTCTGACAAGTTGGTCATGGGGATTGTCTGAACGTATCTCACGATGGTGGTCAATGTGGGTTGTGAAGAGTGTGGGGAGTTCAGGACTGATTCAGATATCACGAGTCACTGATGTTAGCCATGGCCGAGAATCAAACGGTGTGAGGCGAGTTTAAAATGCAGTGCGCGCCAACAACTGTAAAATACAGCAATTCTTAACTAAAATAAAAACACGGCTGTGTTGTAATTATAGTTTTAAACGCACACATACCTTTGCGGAAAATGGCCCGCGGGCTTTGGCATGCAGTTATAGTGTGGCGGTGCAGAAGGAACGTTTTCTGGACGATAGTCTTCATAGCTGCCATAAGAAGGCAACACTTTGAGTTGTTCTTCTCCATGGTGATACTCCACACTCCTAAATGTGCAAAACAGAAGGTACTGTTCATTTATAATGGCCATAAAATACATTTTTATAAATTATTGCTTTACACTATTTCTTATATAGATGTATATAGCGCCTTAGTCCAAGGTGCTTTAGAATCATTATACAATTGCACATGAGATGATAGTGGTTAAAATAAAGAGTGGGGTTATTAAAAGTGGTGGAGTAGCTCTGCTTGCAGTAAGGAGGATAAGTGGGAGTGGTTAAGGAGGGGTAGGGTAGCGATAGGGTTTGGGGTAGGCCTGGTCTTAGCTTAGGGGCCAGGGCAGGGAGTAGCAATAGCATAGGCAAGGGGGAAGATAAAAAAGGGAGGAATGGAAGCAGGTGATAGCGAAGATGATTATTAAATGGGCAGTGGGAGTTGGTTCGAGTGATTGGGAGCAAGAAGGGAAACAAAAGTGACTGGGCGCAAGGCGAGGGAGGCACCTCCGATTAGCACGGTTGGCTACCTACAATGCAAAAGAAGTTCAACATACATATATATATACAGAGAGGGACAATGGAGATCGGGAGCGTAGAGGAGAGGATGGGACATAGCAATAGATGAGACAAGCAAAATATGTTGAGGCAAGACCATGGAGGGATTTGTAGACAAGAGTGATACATTTTAAAAGCCAGTGGAGTTGGGAAAGTAGAGCAGAAGTGTGGGAATTGTGGGGAAGGTTAAAACATTTTCTGGGCTGAGGCATTTTGTATCTGTTGTTGGAGAATAGTGAAGGCGTTGCTAAGAAGGCTGAGAAGAAGAGAATTGCAAGTCAAGGTGAGTGAAAACAAGGGAGTAAACCTGGAGTTTCGCAGCAGATATGGAGATGAGGGGACTGATTTTGCGAATATTCTATTGTTGTATGGTTAAGCTGACTCGTATGCATTATGAAAGAGGGATAAGAAATTGTGCACAGATGGCTCTCCACATTTAAGCAATAACATTGGATCAGTTACACCACTTTACCAGCACGATCAATAACCTCCCACATTTTAAACACTTACCGAGTGAGCTGGCAAAATATATACGACTTGTGTAAGGACAAATATTTACAAAGGAATCCAAACCTACAACTAATATTTAACTCCCTTCTTCATATCAGCTCTTAATGATATAGGTATTTACATGTTTGATCATAAAACAATTACCAATCCGTACCGTATTAAACATGATAATTACTGCCGTTAAGAACACAAATTGTAAATTGTGATCACCAAGTAAAAGACCCTAGTATGTCTAAAAATTCTAAGTGATTCTTGCTCGAATGAGCGTTTAAGCAAGTGCTCATCTGCTGTTTACAGCCCAAATCCAGTGGTGGAAATTCCATGTTCATATGGCAGGGACAAGTTTATCCACATTACCGTTGACTTTGTTGCGAAGTGGCACTCATTTCATAAGACCCCAGAGGGATGATGGGCTAAATCAACCCCAAGCAGGATTTTGCGAGCCGCTCTCTCTATCGCCAAGCCACCTGGCCTGGCTTAAACTCTAAACTATAAAAGCTCGACTCTAAATTCAAAGGCATCTTGATAAAGCATCCAAGCACTCTGCCAATATTTTTTTGGTCTCAACATTATTTTTCACTGACATTTTGAGCACCCGGTCTATGCCACGGTGGATGCCACCAACACAAAAAAGCCTCAATACCGTTGATCGTGCTTCGTTTGACGGCCTCGCAGTGCGTCGCCGAGGGCGCCCATCCCCAGGTGCCACATTTCCGCCACGTCGAGCACCAGGCCGAGCCCGGACATGGCGTACATCACGTACAAGAAGATGGTCTTCTCCGTGGGCCTCGAGATGAAGCAGTCAACGCGGTGGGGGCACGGATAACGAGTGCACTCAAAGCGAGGGATCACCTCCAGGCCGTACATCATGTACTGGCCAAAGAGGAAACCCACCTCGGCCATTGTGCGTAAAATAAGCTGCAACACGTAAGCCTTCATGAGGCCATCAACCCTGATCATGCGACGACCATCGTGCCGTTTATTATCCTTTTTCTTGTTTTCGTCCTCGCTGCTGGTCTTGTGATCAAACTCCTCTTCTTCATGCAAAATTGGATCCTCCTCTTGGTCATTTTCAGCTTCCTCAGCCTCACGGTCCGGCCCACGATGTATCAGTGGAGTCCGTCTCGGTTTTTTGTAGGCAGGGGAGTCTTCTGACCTACGGAGACAACGTAGAAAAGAAAAGCTTAAAATATACTCTTACATGTGTTTTTTTCCAAGTGTATAATTCAGGTTTTTATCTACATTATCATTATTGTTGTTGTAACTTGACCATACCTTCGTATCCTGTGTATGGCGAAGCCAAGGTAGAGAATGCTCGGTGTTGCCACGACAATAATTTGAAAGATCCAGAAACGCACGTGGGAGAGAGGCGCGAAGGAATCGTAGCAGACATTTTCGCAGCCCGGTTGTTGCGTGTTGCACACAAACTTGCTCTGTTCATCATAGTAGATTGACTCGCCACCGACGGCTGTCAGCACGATGCGGAAAATTAAGAATGTGGTGAACCAGAGTTTTCCCAGGTACGTCGAGTGCTGATGTATTTCCTCCAACAAACGAGTCAAAAAACTCCAGCTCATTTTAACACCAGCTCACAAGCGTGTACCTGTGAATTCAAAAGAGAAACATGGATTAGCCACATTGGCAGCCTATGTTTCAATTAATTTTGCATATTGGGCACATTTTTAGATTTTCTGCAGCTGCGAGATGTAAAAAAAATTGTTTCTTATATAAGCTGTCAACCAAACCAGCGACGCTTATAAAAGAGCTCAGACTTAAAGGATGCTACAAAGGCTGTGGTTATCTCAGTTAAAATCTAATTAAGAGCTTCATCTCTAGAAACATTGTTGTGTTAAGTTGACGTCGCTTTTGTTTAAACATTAGATGTTAAAACATGTACGTGTCTTTATTTCGAAAGCACTTCATAGCCACATATTGGAGGGCATTCTGTAAAGCCACACTGGATGGATCAGTGGCAACCCTTTTGGTCCTTGCAAAAATCAGTAACTATGGCAACTGCCCTAAGTCATGACCTAAGGAACAAAAGAGCCTGGCAAAGGCTTTAATGTGCATGCAGATGGAACGAGTGGACGAACAAAGAACTAAAATTCTTCATTTTGAGATAGCAACTGCAAAAGTTTTGCTGTGAAAAGCATGTCTGAGATTGTTGACTACGGAGCATAGACGATCTTTTAATCCAAGGTCTGTAAGTGTATTTCATTTATAAATCGTGTGCCATGAACAGAGGCGGCGTTATGCTATAATGCCAAATGTGGGGTACAGAGCACCCATAGTCCCATAGGTATTGTTGTTACACTCGGCTCGGTGTTCGAAAGGCCAAACCAGCCATTTCATCCTGACATTCACCGACACTTCCAGCATGCCCTCATCACGTTATAAATAATGTTTTATAACCTTCCCCTTTTACAGAAAGTTGAAACGGTGGACATTATTGTTCAAAAGAGAGCATAATCCCATTTTAGTATATAGATTAATAACTGTTGTTTACACAGTACGTCGGGGATATGTCCCTGAAAGTTGCGGCGACGAATATCAAAACGGGGTAAATCAATGCGCTTTGCGGGCTAGGCGGAGGCAAAGGTTGAGGTGACGGATACGAGAAAGGGTGGATGACGCTGTCAGCGACATGTGTACGCAGACAACCGATTAGCCGGTTTGGCTACGTACGGTGCGAAATAAGTTTAACATACTGTACATATAATACAGTGACGATGTATTTTCAAGACGACGTATCACTTATTTAACCAGCAGAGCCACCCTGACTTTTTTTTTTAATAAGGATCCTACATTGGGTTTTTATTTTAAGATATTTTTTTCTTCAGACAAACTAATGAGTTTATCTAAAACCAGAGCACCCGGAGGAAATCCACGCGCACAAGGGGGACACACTCTATCCCGTACAGATGGAAACACGTGGCGAATAGTCCACTTGCTGTACTGCCTCATCCTGGCGTGCCAGGGTATAATGCTGCCACGACGCCCGCGGGAAGGGAGTTTTCACAACGCATGTGCTCACCAACCCTGCGCCTCCAGTGGTGGAGGATTACAAAAGCATGTGCCAGCACTGCCCGGCTATTAAATCTTTGTGGTAGCTTGAATAAAATAGCCGCCGTACACTTAAGAGTCTACTATTGTTATTGTTTCACCTGCTTGTTCGACTGCTCGAGTTTCACCTGCTTGTTTGTCAAAACTGGACTTTGTGTGTGTCACGTGGCAATGTGAGCTAAAGAGTTTAGAAAAGTGTTAAGCAATCGTGAATACTCATTTTGACAACGCGGAATGTGGGGCCACATCCAGCATGCAGGTGTCAAAGAGAGAGTTGGCATACTCAGCGAGTAACATGCGGCAGGGAGAAAGTTTATTTTGAGTCAAGTTGTCCCTAAAAGCTAGACTGTAAACAGAACGAGATCTTGCATAACAGCCCGTGCCAGCACACGCAGGACATCGCACTCGAGATTTATTGGCAAACAGATGGCAAGCAGAACTGCTTGGAATAATCATCTCCATATATGCTGAAAAGCGTGGCTCTCTCGCAGATTAAAGCTGGTGGGTATAGCTTGCTGACTTGAAGGCATATACAATCATCATCAGCTATTTCCAATCCACTGCTGGATGAATGCCTCCCAAGCTCAAATGATTATTACTCAAATATGTACAATCTTTTTTTACACGTCCCAGCACTATTAATGCGTACAACTTTCATTAAGTTGAGCATAAATAGTGCAAAAACCTCATTAGTATTCCACGTATATTGCTGCCCGATTCACCAGTGCGTCCAGTTCGACAGCGTGACATGGGGATGGGCATTTCAGGTTGTGACTTGTCCTTGAAGTCATCTCGCCTCCAGAAATACCCAACAACAACTCAACTCAACACAATCCGTCACGCACACCGCTCAAAGTGGTGGTTTAGTGGTTGTCAACGTACCGCGGCGTCCAGGACTCGGCTGGGTTTTTACCTTCGTTCGATTACCGACCAGGGATAATATCAGCGGCGATCGAAATCTGGAACTTGTTTATGTGGAGCGGCAACACGTTTGGAACCCGCACTGACCAGCAGAGTGGTGAAGTATGGTCAAAATGGTCCCAACAACCCATCCAGGAGTGGCTTGACCACGATGACCCGACCATCACCGACACACCGAACTATACAGTACTGTACCACACCACAGTTTGACAGGACTGTAACAATGCCAAATCGTATTAATTTTCACCAACTAAATCGTGGTTGTAGCTGAGCCGAAGCAAGAGGTTTAAACGTGGACTGTAGTGGAATGCCTGCGTTGTAGTAGTAGTTGTAGTAATAATATAAAAACCACCAAGCACACAAAGTTTTAACAAGAGGCAGTCGTGAACGTGGCGCTGGGGGCTCAACATTCTCCTATCAACAAATCCTCGGGCAAAGCAAGGGGGGGGGGGGGAGAGTTGTGAGAGTTATCTAACCCGTCAATACAAGAATCAATGTTTATAATTCGTATTAAAGACAATCCCCTCTGACCCCTCGACGGCGAATAACGATGTTGGAGGGGGGCATCAGGCGGGCGATGTGGCGCCAAACCAGAGTCCAGCCCCCCCCACGACACAATCCACTCGTCGTCACTTTAAACACAAGAAGAAGAACACCACCACCCCATGCCCCCCCAAGGGGCACGTTCAGAAGAATACAAATATACGACAAACAAAACCTTACGTACGAAACCGGGAGAGAGACGGTCGCGATTCGACCCAGAAACATTACACCACGGACGACGATGTCGCCTCCTCCTCCTCCTACCCCGCTCCCCATTGTCAGGACAATAACAGCAACAACTTAGTCCAACGATTCGGGTAACTTACCGACGGCAGGGAGACGAGGAGGCGATCTCACGGCAACCGACGCGGCGCGCGGGGCCCCGAGATTGGATCGGAATGTCGCTTCAACTTCACCACCACCACCAGCCCCCCTCCTCTTTGTCTCTCGCCGCTTTCTCTCGCACTTAACGACCCCTTTCCCCGGGCTTGCCTTACGCCTTTCTTCGTTTATACCTCCTCCTCCTACGTCTCCCCCCCCCCACCTTCTCTATGTCTGGTCGCGTTAGCGGGTGTCGCTGGCTCGGAGTGGAGAGTGACGCCGCCGGCTCTCGTCTCTCGGCGTGGCCGGCATGGCCGGGGGGAGCAGCCTCTTGGCGCGGCGATCCTCAACCTGACGGGTGCCGCCGCTGCCGCTACTACAACTACTACTGCTGCTGTGGCGGCTACGGTCCCGGCTCCTCCCTCCCCCGCGCCCCCCCCCCCCCGGCGCCCCCCCCCGTCTCCCCCCCCCGGCGCTCCCCCCCCCGGCGCTTCCCCCCCCGGCGCGCCCCCCCCCGGCTCCCCCCCCGGCTCCCCCCCCGGCTCCCCCCCCGGCTCCCCCCCCCGACGCCCCCCCCCGGCGCTCCCCCCCCGGCTCTTCCTCCAGGCTCCCCCCCCCCCGGCTCCCCCCCCCGTCTCCCCCCCCGGCTCCCCCCCCCGGCTCTTCCTCCAGGCTCCCCCCCCCCGGCTCCCCCCCCCCGTCTCCCCCCCGGCTCCCCCCCCGTCTCCCCCCCGGCTCCCCCCCCTCCCGGCTCCCCCCCCCGTCTCCCCCCCGGCTCCCCCCCCGGCTCCCCCCCCGGCTCCCCCCCCGGCTCCCCCCCGTCTCCCCCCCCCCGTCTCCCCCCCCGGCTCCCCCTCCGGCTCCCCCCCCCCGTCTCCCCCCCCGGCTCCCCCCCCCGTCTCCCCCCCCGGCTCTCCCCCCGTCTCCCCCCCGGCTCCCCCCCCCGGCTCCCCCCCCGGCTCCCCCCCGGCTCCCCCCCGTCTCCCCCCCCGGCTCCCCCCCGTCTCCCCCCCCGGCTCCCCCCCGTCTCCCCCCCCCCGTCTCCCCCCCCGGCCCCCCCCCCGGCTCCCCCCCCCCGTCTCCCCCCCCGGCTCCCCCCCCGTCTCCCCCCCGGCTCCCCCCCCCCCCGGCTCCCCCCCCCGTCTCCCCCCCCGGCTCCCCCCCCGTCTCCCCCCCGGCTCCCCCCCCGGCTCCCCCCCGGCTCCCCCCCCGGCTCCCCCCCCCCGTCTCCCCCCCGGCTCCCCCCCCGGCTCCCCCCCCCCGTCTCCCCCCCCGGCTCCCCCCCCCGTCTCCCCCCCCGGCTCCCCCCCCGTCTCCCCCCCGGCTCCCCCCCCCGGCTCCCCCCCCGGCTCCCCCCCGGCTCCCCCCCGTCTCCCCCCCCGGCTCCCCCCCGTCTCCCCCCCCGGCTCCCCCCCGTCTCCCCCCCCCCGTCTCCCCCCCCGGCCCCCCCCCGGCTCCCCCCCCCGTCTCCCCCCCCGGCTCCCCCCCCCGTCTCCCCCCCCGGCTCCCCCCCCCCGTCTCCCCCCCGGCTCCCCCCCCCCCAGCTCCCCCCCCCGTCTCCCCCCCACGGCTCCCCCCCCCGTCTCCCCCCCCGGCTCCCCCCCCCCCAGCTCCCCCCCCCCGTCTCCCCCCCACGGCTCCCCGAGGCGAGTTGGGTGGGGGGGTGTGGCTGGGATGGGCAGGGATTGCCGGGATGAGAGAGTTGGTGGACGGGATGGAGGAGGCTCGTGAAGGACGCTGCTGCTGCTGGGAAATTGGAGGCAGTCGCCCTCCAGCAACAACGACAACGGAGGGCAAGAGGAGAGACGCTCACAACAACGTGCGCAGCGCCGTGGCGTGTAAAACGCAGCGAGTTGGCACAGTAGGGGGCACAGCTGATGGTGCATCTTCAGGTCACATCTCAAGTCAGCCAACCCGTGGCATCTGCTGGGTCTGTCCCGAAACCTCCTTCTGTCAGCGAGCCTTCGACACTTCACGTGGGGCCTCAAGGTGCACCTCGCCTGGCACAGGCGCCGTGGCGACTGGCAGGAATTGGTGGATGGGACGATCCAAAGTGGTGGATTACAATAACCAATGGGTGGTAATAATAAAAGCATGCGCTTGCAGACAATACGCCTCCTTTGTGTTTCGTTTGTTGTCCCTTCCAGCAACCCCGATGAGCACGGTTGGATACGTACGGTGCGAAAGAAGTTCAACATACGTACAACAGATTCCCATAAAGAAATACACATACAAGTATGATTTAAACATCCCATCGGCTACACAGCCTTTCTTGGTTTCAGCAGCACTGGTTCAACAAAACGAAGAACTCTGAACCGATTTTGAAATGGTGGTATGTGATGGGCCTCTGTGATTTGGGAGTGAAATGGTGGTTTGCGCTGGTGGCTGGCGGGATGAATTGGATTGGCCGTGGGGTATGATGGTGAGCCTGTTCTCTTGAGTTTTGACGGTGGGATTGTTTTGGTACACGATAGGCTGTTTGATATTATCGGCTGTGATGGATTCGACTCGATAGGATAAGTCGTGCTCGGACGATGGGGGATTATCTAAACTGCGACGTGGGGGCAGCTGTCGTGCTGGACCGGGATAAAGATGAGTGGCTGGGATGGTGGCGTTGTGTGTAGGGTCGATAGGATGTGACGAGCAAGGAGAGGGCCCATCCCACCACCCCCAGTCCCGCATTCTCGTGGGTTTTTTTTGTGTGTGTGGCAATGACGTCGGCTCTAGACTTCTCCACCAATCCAGCTTTGAGTTCATTTGGAGAGGTTTTTTTTCTTCTCGAGAAGTTTCCGTTTTCCGTGTGCACGCTTGTCTGTGCACTACGGGTGTATTATTTCACCATTAAGTCAGAATCCACGACTGGATGAGGACTCCCCCCCCCCCCACGTCATCTTATGCTCCTGTTCACCACGTAGGCTTTTGGGTTAGGTCGCGTAAATATAAATGTGCCATTACACCCGCCACCACTTATGATCCTGTGATTGCAGTATTTCATCAGTAGCATCTGAACACGATTGTATTTACTCCGCTCTCCGAGGGGGCTGTCAACTCCGCCCTTAGTCCCGACTATACTTGTCAATCTCTTCTCGCGACGTGTCCTATAGGCGCTGTTCTTGATGTGACATCTCAAACTTGGGTTATTCTCTCGCCCACGTCATGCTGCCTGAGCCTCTTTCCGTCTCACGGTTTTGTTAGAAACGTGAAACTATCTGTCCATTCGCAATTTTATATTTTTCATTGCCCATGTTTCAAACTTATTCGACATAGGTTTAGACACATGACGGGTATAGATATCACTTGCCACCGACAGCCGGGACTTTGATCGCAAGGGTTGCCACACAGCACACTCCGCTTCTGATCCGAAGATTAGAAGGTGCGGATAATTACGGACAGGTGCCCCTCCATTGACTTAAAACCGTTCGCGGACTTCGTCCACCTTGACCGGTTAGCGCGGGCCTCACAGCAATGTGGAACTTTGTGCTGACCCTCCCGAATGAGTAGAACCAATCAAGCTCACAGCCATACAATTTTTTCCAGACAACCTCTGCTGACTGTGGTATATGAAGGCGGCAGCGGTGCTTGGCTGGTTGCCTGTGAAAAATTCGTTTCTGCCACAGGAATGTGGAATTTTCACAAAAGCCCTCGGACTTCCACCGCAGATTTTGAGTCAGATTTCGGAAACTAAGCAGGTTTGAGCCTGGAGAGGGGTTGGATAGATGATCACCGTATGCAAACGATTGTCACAGGTCTTCGGGGCTATGCAGCGCAGGATAATTGCGTCTTGTACTGTACTCTGCTCCCACACCCATGCTCTGCGCATTCATACACCAGAAACTGACCAGCATGGTAAAGTCTGGTAGAAATAACCCCCACTACTCGCATAGGCGTGGAGAAGCCTTCATCCAGCTGTGGATCAACAAAAGTTGAAGCACAGGTTTAATGTGTCAACGTATTTGATAACGTCACCTTTCAACGTCACAATCTCACAGATAAATATCTGCACAATCTAAAAATGAAACTTTTTTCGCTACAAAAAAAACTGCTTATTCTTTCGGATCTTTCGGTAAAGTCACATAGATAGGTTCAAAGAAAATAACTAAAAATAACAAAAAAAACTATGACGGAAAAGGGGGTTAGTCTCTAAAGGCAAACTGTTTATAAAGGTTTTCAGCAGTATTGGCGGGGCAGCTGATGTTAATGTAAGTGATGGTCCATGGCGGCGCTCGTAGTGGGTTTCCACCAATTAAAGGGCTGCCAGGTAAAAATTAGCATGTCAATGTAAGATCGTAGAGCGGCCTCCACGGCGAGTGTGCTGATGTGGTTATGTTAATGTGAGAGATTAGCATGTTAATGTGAGAGATTAGCATGTTAATGTGAGAGATTAGCATGTTAATGTGAGATATTAGCATGTTAATGTGATAGATTAGCATGTTAATGTGAGAGATTAGCGTGTTAATGTGAGAGATTAGCGTGTTAATGTGAGAGATTAGCATGTTAATGTGAGAGATTAGCATGTTAATGTGAGAGATTAGCATGTTAATGTGAGAGATTAGCATGTTAATGTGAGAGATTAGCATGTTAATGTGAGAGATTAGCGTGTTAATGCAACATCGCAGAGTCGCCGCCACGTCGAGGTCGACGCGTGGAGGTGGCTGTCCTTGTGGAAGAGGTTCGTTGTTGCTGTTCATTACAAACGCGTACAATGGCTGCCACCCACACAGCTTGAAGTGAACGTCGAGTGCTTTGCGCGAACAAGTGGTGTTGTGGCAGAGGTTGCAGTCTTGATTCGAATATAAAGAATAGTTTTGTTTATGTCTATAAAATATGATTTCCATAATTGACATTCAATTCAGACCTTATTGGTCACCCCGTGTCCCTTATAATTCTCGACGTCCATCCTACAAAGTCCCATCACAAGGGAGTAACACAAATAAAGAGACTAAAACTTGTTTTGCCCGTATTGAAACAGCTCTATGCCATATGGATTTCATAACTCAATTAATTTTCCTGTACAAGAATACGGGTAAACCGTATGGGTTGACAGGTATGTTAAAATTGCTTTGTTATATAGGTAAATATCGTTTACTTTATGCAATATTATCTGTGACTAGGACATTTAGGAGGCACTACATATGTTTTGAGAAGATGTCTGATGTAAAATATTATGTTTCTTGTTAATGGTTTGTAAAATAACCATTTTCCATGTTAAATGTTTTTAAACATAAGCGGGTGTCATCATCAGGTTTGTGTCTGGTCATCATGACTTTTAAATAATAAGCGTTGCCATTTCACAAATCTCTGGTCCCCCAATTATCTGGAGGCCAGAACAACGCAGAGTATTTACTCATCGTCTAAGAAACTTTATTGTTGTTGTCTATTCA